AATGTTATACTGAACAAAAATATAAACGCAACACGCAACAATGTCATTGATTTTACTGAGTTACAGTTCATATGAGGAAATCGGTCAAATGAAATAAATTAATTAGGCCTTAATCTATGGATTTCACATGACTGGGAATACAGATATGCATCTGTTGGTCAAACATACCTTTAAAAAATGTGCCTCACATTGTGCCTCAGGATCTGGTCAAGGTGTTTTTCTTCATTCAAATATGCCACACCTGTCAGGTGGATGGATTATCTTGGCAAAGGAGAAATGCTCACATACAGGGATATATAAAAATTTGTGCACAACATTTGAGAGAAATAAGCTTTTTGTGTGTATGGAAAATGTCTGGGATCTTTTATTTCAGCTCATGAAACATTGGACCAACACTTTACATGCTGCGTTTATATTTTTTGCAGTGTATACTGTACATCTTGAAAACTGGACTATATCAACAATGGACTAATGAAACAAATACCAAAATATAGTTTTTGGGTAGAATTTTCCTTTAAATATTTGACACACTTTGCCTGTTAAGCAGATAATTAAGCATAGAAGTATATGAGAGCACCATAAAGCCTCCAAGTGGATAGAGGTATTACACATTGATTACTTTGGCCATTAACAACCAATTATTATTTCATATTTTAAAACCTCCCACTTTCAAACAGTCTGTAGACATTGAGGAGCAATTGAAGAGTAAGAATGAGCAGTTAAAAGTCTAAACGCCAAATTATTGAATTTCTTACTCTGTCCCTTCTCTCTCTTACCATGATTGGCATGTACCTGTTCCCTCTCTCTCTTACCGTGATTGGCATGTACCTTTCTCTTGCACCCCGCACCTCTTGTCTATGGGATAGCAGTAACAGCACAGAGCATATCCTGTTGTCTCAATCTACCTCTCTCTGTTTACACTGCTTGCAATAAAAGTCAATGACAAGAAACAACAGGCGGAAGACAAACTCATCTCAGAAGACAAACTTGATCTCTGTCTCTATAGGTAAACATTCAGAAAATAATGGCAGATAACGAAAAGGCAAACAGTTTAGGGGTTTTCATGGCTCATCGGCCCAATAAACTCCCCCAGACAGGTCTCTGTCTCTCTAATGTACTCCAAGACAGCAAGCAGATACAACTAATTTACAACTCAATTACAACTCAGGCACAACCACATTCTGGCTCAATGCCAACAGAATCTAGCTGAGATTACACTGGATTTGTGATGTTTCACAAACATATTAGGCCTTGCCATATTTTGTTACTAACGATGTTGTTGTGCCCATTACTCAATTACAGGTTTAATTGATACAGATGTATGTGCTGATGATCCTCTTTAACAATAGGGAACATTTTACATTTACTTTACATAAGTATACACTGAGTATACAAAACGTTAAGGACACCTGCTCTTTCCATGACATAGACTGACCAGGTGAATCCAGATGAAAGCTATGATCCCTTATTGATGTCACTTGTTAAATCCACTTCAATCAGTGTTGATAAAGGGGAGGAGACAGCTTAAAGAAGGATTTTTAAGCCTTGAGACAATTGAGAGATGGATTGTGTATGTGTGCCATTCAGAGGGTGAATGGGCAAGACACAATATTTAAATGCCTTTGAACGGGGTATGATAGTAGGTAGTAGGTGCCAGGCGCACCGGTTTGTGTCAAGAACTGCAATGCTGCTGGGTTTTTCACGCTCAACAGTTTCCCGTGTGCATCAAGAATGGTCCACCACCCAAAGGACATCTAGCCAACTTGACACAACTGTGGGAAGCATTGGAGTAAACATGGGCCAGCATCCCTGTGGAATGCTTTCGGCGCCTTGTGGAGTCCATGCCCAGACGAATTGAGGCTGTTCTGAGGGCAAAGGGGGGAGGTGCAACTTAATATTAGGAAGGTGTTCCTAATGTTTGGTATACTCAGTGTACGTTATCTGTATTTCAGGGAATGCTAGTTTGTATGCTAATTATGTTAGAATGCTAGACCAAATCCTCTGTTTGAAAAACCTTTGAAGACTAGACAATATGATTCTTCCCTATTTTGTAGTCATTACGCTTGCTGCTTCTACAAATAGAAGTAGAGGGAGGACTAATACACACAGACAGAAAACTGGCTTCATATCATGAATGTCTCCCCAGAGAAATCTATGACTCCTTCCGGTAGTATTGGGAGGTTATAAAGGGTAAATGATTATGCGTTTTTACTTAGCCTTATCTTCCGAGTGAGGCATCCACTAATGTGAGCAGAGTGCTTTCCAGTGATCCAGTAAACCCCGTCTGTTTGCGATGCATACTTCATCATTGGAGAGAAAACGGAGGTTGACTGTCTGTGCAATAATTTATTAACATATGAACTGCCCTGAAAAGACCTCTGAGCATCACTCAGAAGCACTATCGAATGACAGTGACCAAACAATGAGATATTTCCCAGGAGGTTTTTTATTTAATGTGGGGAAAATAACCTTTGAGTCACCACACATTGGACAGAATAGGTATAGTAAGAAATGCCTGGCTGTCATTTGTAGCTTATGTGTCCCAAAAGGGTTACTCTTTTTACACATAAAGCCCTCTGTGTGTATACATATCACTCCTCATAATGACACCCACACAAAATATTAACATCCATTGTTTCGCACTACATATCGGCAGATATTAGTCTTGCTAGCTGTGGATGAGACACGTTGATTTGATTCCCTCACAAGAGATGTAACTCGTCACCTCCCCAGAGGAACAAAGCCTGTAGAAGCAATTAGAGTGTTTTTTTTTATCTGACCAATTAAACCAATAGAAAGCCACCTGATATATCTCTTTATGACGGAACAGACAGACACTTAGTCCTAATTTTCATTGGTAACTTTGATTGACTCAAAGTCCGTTCGGAGTTGGGACTAAATAGATGATGCCATTGGTCTGAATACCTAGGAGTGTAGGGTGTCTGGGGAACAAATTGGCACCGTGGCTGTATCATGGACACCAATTAAACACTGAACATGAAATTAGGTTGTTTGCGAGGGGTTCAATATTTTGTCATCAGTCCCGAAGAAATTTCCAAATTAGAGATGGACGCTAGTGTCACAAAAACAACCACCAAATAAGAATGTTAAGAAGCAGAATCAATCCTGATGGTATTGATTGATCTGGCTGCGTTTACCCAGGCAGACCAATTCTGATCTTTTTTCACTAATTAGTATTTTGACCAATCAGATCAGCTCTGCTAAAGATCTGCTGTGATTGGTCAAAATACCAATTAGTGGAACAAATATCAGAATTGGGCTGCCTGTATAAATGCAGCCCATGTAACTGAGACTGATTGGCAATTAGCCTACACGATGAAATCATTGTTCATTGCGGTAGTCAGAATATAATATACAAGGATCTACAAAGGCAATTCAGAAAAAAATTGTGGATCTTCCCTGTTGGACTGATCATTGAGGAGGACAATAGCAGGTATCAAAGCCCCCATATGGCAAAACTCTTCCTTTTTTATTCAATTTCTTCCAGCCTTGTTATTTTCTGACATGGCTGTGCTCTAGGACATTTTTGAAACATCTCACAAACAAGCAAAGCTTCTGTGAGTCTGATATAGCTGCCAAGACATGCTTCAAAGACCGTAGAGGAATGATGGGGGTGAACTGAATGGCAATGGTGATAGAACCTTTAACCTTTATTTCATGTTCTGGAGGTACATGCTACAGTACATCATGTTCTGTGGTCACTTCAGTCTTCAGTGATCGCAGCGTTCTAGTAGATACATTTATGTAAAATATACAAGTGTCAACTGCTTTTCCTCCACTGGAGAAATTGGATTCCAAGCCAGCCATTCATAATAATGATGTAGACTTCATTTAAAAGTTGGATCCAAGAAGCTACCCGAAAACCTAGCAAGACACCAACAACATCAAACACAGATAATGTGACCATTGACCACTAACAGAGACACATACAACAGCTGAAGTCTACCAAGTCTACTACTATCCATCTTAATAGTCTCAGCGCTTTTGTTTAGTCCGAAATATGAAATGTACGATGTTAATCTGAGCATGGGGTTGTAAGCTATCTGTGCTTCCCTGAGCTATGGCTCCTGGTTAGCTAATAAAGCAGCGTGTCTGCCTGAGTAATTGCAGTCGTTTCTCTCAGTCGTACGAGCAGAGAGGCCTATCTGGACTAGACCTCCAGTAAACACAGGTCCCCTGGCAGCAAGCATTCGGACAGAGAGATCACGATTCAGACCTGTGTCTACCAGGCTGTGGTGGACAGAGGGTCAATGACGCATTCAACATTCATTCTGACCTCTGTAACATAAACAGGCAAGCCTTCCTGGAAACGTAATGTTGAAAGCCTACCATTGTGACTTATGGACATGGGAGCTAAACATTTGACAGATTCTGTGGCACAAAGCTGGTAAGTCAAACTGCAAAAGTTGGCTTATGAAAAAAATATTCAAGTTGTCCTATTGGTTGATTTAAAGATTTTTTTCATTTAATTCCAACTGTTGAGAACAGTTTACAATAACTTCAGTTAATGGTGGTTGTGTGCAGAGGCAGTATCCGCTAATTACATTAATTCCCTTAATTTTTTTACAAATATATATACATTAAAACAGAGGTAAAATCAAACAAATCACTGAAACAATACAAAGGAGTGCATTGCTGCAGGGCACTTCAAATAAAACATTTGCCAGCCCTACTCTAAGACAAATAAAAAATAACTAACTGAATAGCATGACAGCATACAATCAATATTTACAATATCTTTCATTGCTTTATAAATACAAGCTCTTTCATAACAATTCAGAGCTTTCTCGGTTGGATCGGTTTTCAAAAAGAGATCAATTTCCTAACTTTTGACCAAACAAAAATCTCTGATATGAAAAAAGTAAAAAATTGTCCAGATTCACCTACTCTCTCTTCCACTTTTCCAAAAAGAGAAAATTGATTATCAGAAAACACAACCCATTTACGAAACAGTCCGGCATCATCTGCCATCTTCTACCAGTCTTCCCCATCAGTGTGTCAGCCATCTTGGGCAGGAACATCTCTAGGAAGTGAAAGAAGTCCTGGAACTGTCTGGTGCCATCAGCAGAGGGGCGAAACATGATCACGGCCTTGGTGCTCTCTGTGCCGCCCACCACCTGGGCCTGAACCTGTAATTCCAGTGGCTCCTTGTCCACTATGTACTGGGTCTCCAGCTCCACACTGCTGCCCTCTGGCCTGGAGTCCATGTCCATTGCCCCTTTAATCAGCTCCCGCCTCACCTTCCGCCGGACTGCCCACACCCTGTGCCTCTGGACGTACAGTTGAAGTCGGAAGTTTACATACACCTTAGCCAAATACATTTGAACTCAGTTTTTCACAATTCCTGACATTTAATCCTAGTAAAAATTCCCTGTCTTAGGTCAGTTAGGATCACCACTTTATTTTAAGAATGTGAAATGTCAGAATAATAGTAGAGAGAATTATTTATTTCAGCTTTTATTTCTTTCATCACATTCCCAGTGGGTCAGAAGTTTACATACACTCAATTAGTATTTGGTAGCATTGCCTTTAAATTGTTGGTAGCCTTCCACAAGCTTCCCACAATAAGTTGGGTGAATTTTGGCCCATTCCTCCTGACAAGAGCTGGTGTAACTGAATCAAGTTTGTAGGCCTCCTTGCTCGCACACACGTTTTCAGTTCTGCCCACACATTTTCTATAGGATTGAGGTCAGGGCTTTGTGATGGCCACTCCAATACCTTGACTTTGTTGTCCTTAAGCCATTTTGCCACAACTTTAGAAGTATGCTTGGGGTCATTGTCCATTTGGAAGACCCATTTGCGACCAAGCTTTAACTTCCTGACTGATGTCTTGAGATGTTGCTTCAATATATCCACATAATTTTCCTTCCTAATGATGCCATCTATTTTGTGAAGTGCACCAGTCCCTCCTGCAGCAAAGCACCCCCATGCTTCACGGTTGGGATGGTGTTCTTTGGCTTGCAAGGGCCCCCCTTTTCCTCCAAACATAACAATGGTCATTATGGCCAAACAGTTCTATTTTTGTTTAATCAGACCAGAGGACATTTCTCCAAAAAGTACGATCTTTGTCCCCATGTGCAGTTGCAAACCGTAGTCTGGCTTTTTTATGGCGGTTTTCCTTGCTGAGCGGCCTTTCAGGTTGTCGATATAGGACTCGTTTTACTGTGGATATGGATACTTTTGTACCTGTTTCCTCCAGCATCTTCACAAGGTCCTTTGCTGTTGTTCTGGAATTGATTTGCACTTTTCTCACCAAAGTACGTTCATCTCTAGGAGACAGAACGTGTCTCCTTCCTGAGCGGTATGACGGCTGCGTGGTCCCATGGTGTTTATACTTGGGTACTATTGTTTGTACAGATGAACGTGGTACCTTCAGGCGTTTGGAAATTGCTCCCACGGATGAACCAGACTTGTGGAGGTCTACCATTTTTTTCTGAGGTCTTGGCTGATTTCTTTTGATTTTCCCATGATGTCAAGCAAAGAGGCACTGAGTTTGAAGGTAGGACTTGAAATACATCCACAGGTACACCTCCAATTGACTCAAATGATGTCAATTTGCCTATCAGAAGCTTCTAAAGCCATGATATCATTTTCTGGAATTTTCCAAGCTGTTTAAAGGCACAGTCAACTTAGTGTATGTAAACTTCTGACCCACTGGAATTGTGATACAGTGAATTAAAAGTGAAATAATCTGTCTGTAAACAATAGTTGGAAAAATAACTTGTGTCGTGCATAAAGTAGATGTCCAAACCGACTTGCCAAAACTATAGTTTGTTAACAGGAAATTTGTGGAGTGGTTGAAAAACGAGTTTTAATGACTCCAACCTAAGTGTATGTAAACTTCCGACTTCAACTGTAGGTCCAGCGTGGAGACCCGGGCTGGTGCCCGCTGTAACTGTCCAGCCTGGGCCTCTTGCCCTGCAGGGACACGGAGGCGTCGCTTCTCTCAGAGGACAGCAGGGCTCTCTTGGTTCCCGGTGTGGCCTTGCTCTGGGGCCTGCAGTCACTGCTTGAGGAGGCACAGCGGCTGGCATCCTCACTGTGGTTGATTTGCCAATCGGTGATGCAGTATCCATTCCCTCAGCTCCAGTGCTTTCTCCCATGCCTGTGTTAATCAGGCTGCACTTGCGCACTCCCTGAAACACCCCCTCCACTGCAGAGCACACCCTCTGGAACCAGAGCAGGCGGAAGCCAACCCCGGCAGAGTGCAGATGGCTGCGGACCAACTCGCGGAGCGAAGAAGCCTTGAAGGGGATGCAGATGGCTAGTGCCTGCTCCGCCCACTTGTGGTGGTGGGGGTGAGGGCCCACGTCCCGGGGGGTGAAAAGGCGCACAAGGCCCCGCACCTTGCCTTTGGTGGACTTGGGCTCGTAATGCAGGCTGCGGCAGTACTTCTCTGCCTCCTGGCACTCCTTCTGAAAGCTCCTCTGGCTGCGCTCCGTTAGGTTGCCCGCCACATTGTGGTTCAGCTCGAAGGGGTCCAGCACGTTGAAGGGGCCAAGCTTAGGGCCAGAGGACCTCTACTGCTCCATGGCCTCCCCTTCACACTTTACCTTGTCCGGCTAAGAAAGCTGGTGACGGGGAGTGAGCAGCCCTCCCTCATGGAGAGCTGGCAAAGACAAACTGGGCGTAGAAGGAGAAGAAGCCTGACAGCAGGGAACCTACAGAGAAAAACAAACGAAAGCTTCAAGCTGTTGATCAGCCCAAAATGAATAAATGATGTGAAAACAACTGAGGGAGTTACACCAAAGATGTACTTAGGGCCAGTTGGGTAAGATGAGGACAGATTTAATTAAGAACCTGTAAATAATACATCCAACTACACCATCACTCCCTAATGAATGCCGAAAGGCGGCTGAGTTTTTAATTTGTTTAAAAACAGATGTAATATTGTACCTGCCAATACAAAATTACTTTTATGAAGAGTGCTTTGGTCTTAGTTTTCTCTAAACCAAATAGCACCTTAAATACTACTATTGATATTCTGACTTTCTCTCGTAACACTGCCCCTCCTTTTTTTCTGCATGGTTGGATGTATTTTCCATGCAATTTTTGGTGTAACTTGCACAGATCCTGGGTGTTCTTGCTGGAGGGCACAGCAATGGGCTGACTGGGGAAGGTGCAGTTCCAGCCTCAATAACATACTCTTCCTCCTCACCTTAGAGGAATAGAGAAGAACAGTGAATAAAAACACATCAAGACAAATAATAATTGAATTCACTAGGCACAAAACTATACACATCCTCAGGTTAAACCTATTTTCTGCCATATAGGGGACTACGTGGGTTAATATAGGGTACAATATGGACTACATAAATACTAGTCCTAACAGTAATAAAAGTCCTGTACATGGTAAATAGAAATGGCTTGAGATGAGATGTGTGTTATCAGCATGCATGTGATATTTGTGTTGAGCTTCAAAGCAGTGCAGAAAGGGAAGAAGTACATACAGGCCATGTCCTTCAGCTGGTCCAATGTGGGGAGAACAGGAGGGTCACACTTCTGCAGATAGAAGATCACCAGCAGGGTCAAAGCATAGTTATTCAGCAAGGGCCCAGCACCACTGAGATTACCTAAGGGAGAAACACCATAGAGAGAAAACCGTCATTCCAAGCATGTGACACAAAGCAGCATAATACCATATAGTCTGTAGCCAAAAAGGTGATAAAGTCCACATGCAAGGTTCTGCTGCCCCCTACTGAATACAGTTCAAAATGGTATGGGATCTAAGGTGTTAGTCTCTCATACAGGATGCTGTGAAGATCACTCACCAGCCAGATGCTTCTGTTTGGCCCAGGATGGTGTAGACCAGAGGGTGCAGCCTGGAGTCCAGCCCTGAGCACAGCTGCAGGAAACGGGTGTTCCTCACCGCCAGTCTGAGTGGTGGAGGAATAGAGATTAGGAGGGTCGGTTGGTAGTGACCCATGTTTGTGTTCATACCCGAAATACTAAGAGTTATTGTTGTCTGACTTTTCTGATCATTATGAAGTTCCTAGGATGTAGGGCTAGGGGTCAGTTTGGGTTAGGCCGTACACAGTACAGTAGGCATAGAGATACATTACATTTCTTGTTCCATTTAATTAATAATATGACAGTAGCATTGTGTTTTCCACTTCATTAATTAACTAGGCTTCTTTCCATTTAAAAGTTTTAATTTGCTGGTCAGAAAAGTCTGTATCGCCTTCTCCCGCTTGAATGAATCTTCTAGTGATCTATTGATAGGACAGGCGCCTGTCAGTCAGAAAGCGAGCGATGACGGGATGGTTTGTCAGTCTGCTGTCTGTCTGTCCGGCCTCTAGCTACTGGTGTTATTTTTGTGCACTCTGGTTGGCTGCAGTCAAATTTATTTTCATGTAGGAGAGAGTATGAAGCTTCTTCATCGTCCCATGTAATGTAAGTGGTAAGGATGAGTTGAAATCCACTTAATTATTGTTTTGTGGCACATAAATGTATTTTATTTTCATAGGCCTACTTTAGCCAGCCACGGAGTCGGGGCGGATAGGCTATTTACTGTGCTTTGATTGACGACCGAACAGCATGTTTTTGAGTAGTTTATACAAGGTGTCGAACTAACTGAATAAAGTAAATCTCCTATAACCCTTTGCTATTCATAAATCAAACAACGTAGTTATATGTCCATGGTATCGCATCGGGTAGGCCTAAACCAAAGATCTTGTTTGTATTTTCCTAGGATTCCAAACCCATGTGGAGACTTGCCAGTGACCGCTAAAGTGACTCGTCAGTGTAGCCTAGTGATGGGTTGTTTGCGAACGAACGACTCTTTTAGAACTGATCTTTTAGGTGAACAGAACCAAATCCCATCGGTGAGAGAGCTGTTCATTTGGCTCACTAATTTGCATGTTGGTAGGCTACTAATGCTTTTTGACGAATGCTGTATCTGCAAATCAATTATGAAAACATTTGATGAAGATGTTGAATCCTCACTGCAGGAACAATAGGTAGTGGAGAGAGAGCCTCATTCTGGTCAAAAATATATAATAGAAGAAAACAGATTATTAAGGCTAATGTCATGATACTTATAATAATAATAATATGCCATTTAGCAGACTCTTTCATCCAAAGCGAATTACAGTCATGCGTGCATACATTTTTGTGTATGGGTGGTCCCAGGGATCGAACCCACTACCTTGGCATTACAAGCGCCGTGCTCTACCAGCTGCGCTACAGAGGACCACTTATATGGTATTATTAATGTATTGATATAGGCCTACTGATTTGATTAAAGCGTCGACAATGGAGTAGTCAACTGCTGCTTTCTATGTAGCAAATCCCATGTTTAACACCTGCTTAATTATTCAATCATGCCTGTAGGTCTATTCATGGTCCCTGCCTTTGAATAATGGTGGTGGTGCACAATCTGGCAGAGGGTCTGGGGGTCCTCCCCCTGAACATTTTAAAAAACAATTTTCCTGCAATTCTATATTGTCTCTCAACAGGGAATCCAAGTTTACTTGACAGATCAACCATTTTTGTTAGGTTTATGCCACAATCAATTCAATTGAAAGAGTAGTATAGACTTGTTTTTCTGACTAGATTACTAATCTACCGCCTTTCTTCAAAGACCCACCCACAGTGATTGATTGACAGGTCTGAAACCCTACCGACTCTGACTGACAAACATCCTGCCCCCTCCCCTGACAATCCCACCCACAGTGATTGATTGACAGGCCAAAGTGTTAAAGGGATAGTTCACCCAAATTACAAAATGACACATTGGTTTCCATACCCTAAGTGCACAGCAGCAGAGCCAATAAAATACATAATTTGAAGAACAAACATCATTGTTGCAATTCATATAATGTCAATATGACTTTAATCTCATGAGATGATGGGTTTAATGTTAAAAAATGTTATCTTACTTAGATCATAAAGACCTAGGCGAAATCCAAAACAACTAACAAAACACTGAATTAATACATTTTCAGTAATTTTATTCTAAAGTCATGTTTTTCTACTCAATACCACAACTCATTTTACCAATCTGGGAGGTAAAGTCGTAAACTATTCAATAATTTAGCTGTGTATTTCAGATGGAATCAAGGCATTAGAATGTACCAGAGGCCACCAAAATAGAGCTTGTTCTGTCATTTATTTTCACGGACCCCCCCAGCCGGAACTCCCTGGCTGGCTACTTTTTCTATTTGGCTGGTTACTCCATGTACTTACGGAAAACACTGATTGTACAAGCTGACCTGTTATTGATGGTCACATCCACCTGGAGGTTGAGCTCCTTGTGGATGAACTTGACCACAGGAAGGCGTGCGCCGCTGACCGGCATGACCTTGTGCACCCCGGGGACGCACTTCCTCAAAATGTGTTGACGGAGGAACCAAAGGCCAGGATCAGACTATCTGGACCAAGACAGCACACAAACATCAAAAGCCATCATTTCTGCCCCAAATCACTGATACAGGGTCAGCTATTTTTCATCCCCCTTGTGGTTAAGATTATGAGTGGATGTAATCTGATCCTTGATCTGTGGTTAGGGACAACTTGTACTTAAAGCTAAATGTTTGGCCTCAATGAGAGTCGGCCTACCTGGGAAGAACTCTGAACACCTGAAGCAGCTGCACCAGTAGCTGTCGGGCCTTTTCTCATTGCACCCAATAAAAAAGACATATTGGTAACCTACACACTTTTCAAGTGTGTAGCTTGTTATTGTTGGTCAATCAAAGCAGCACTAACGTTACAGTCAGAGGCTCCATGTGTAGCAAGTGAAGTGGGAGATTTCTAATCAAAGCTAAATAGAATTACAATTATGGAATTAAGTTGGCTAAATGAAGAGTAGGCTACAATGATCAACCAACAGGCAGGCTGTTGTTTAATATGAATGGAGTTGTTGTAGACAAGGTGCGCAGCAAAATTGCTTCAATTAGCCAGCTAGCTAACTTAGATGGCTAGGGTAGCTAGCTAGCTTATTTACATAGATTTGATGCAGTCAAGACAGACACTGAACAAAAATATAAATGCAACATGTAAAGTGTTGGTCCCATGTTTCATGAGATGAAAGATAAAATCAAACATTTTCTATATGCACAAAAAGCTTATTTCTCTCAAATGTTGTGCACAAATGTGTTTACATCCCTGTTGATGAGCATTTCTCCTTTGCCAAAATAATCCATCCACCTGACAGGTGTGGCATATCAAGAAGCTGAGGACAATAAAAGGCCACTTTAAAATGTGAAGTTTTGTCACAAAACAAAATGCAACAGATATCTCAAGTTTTGAATGAGCGTGCAATTGGCATGCTAACTGCAGGAGTGTCCACCAGAGCTGTTGCCAGAGAATTAAATGTTAATTTCTCTGAAAAATATGGTTGTTTATGAATTCGAAGGACCAATAAAAAGGGATAAAAAAACGTAGGTGCTGGATTTTAGGCCGGTAGCAACCACCACAGGGTGTCCGTTCAGAACATGAGGAAGCAGTAGTTCCAGTTCAAGGTTTAATGAAGATCCACACACGCATTCAACACCACTCTCTCTGATACTAATCGTGGTTCTGTAAAGAAAAGAGGAGAACTTAGGCTATAGCACAGTATGGGGAAAATATGCCTATTTGCATGTCAACAACTAAACAGGCTATGTGGACCCAAACACATGATAGATGCACAAAGAACAATAGAGCAATGTAGAAATAACTACACGTTATAAAACAACATAATAAGCATGAGCGATCTATAACCGAAAATAGCCTAGCACCACAGACAAATGCTAACAAATGCTAATCGCTAATAAGCATGCTAAATAGTCATGCATTCCACTGCGCCACTAGGGATGGTACATATTTACACAAATGGTACATATTTACAACAGATACTATTTAGCTCCAAACAACAAGATATCAGGATTTTTGAACTTACAGTCCCGGGGGAAAAGGCTGCTGATTGGCTAATAAAATTATGACGATTGAAGTGACTTTATTCTAATAGGAAAACCAAAAGAAAGTTGGGGTCTTGGAAAGGAGATGAGCTGGCCGTTTTTACAGCCGCCCCCAAATGTGTTGTACATATTTGCTTCAAAGACAAGCCAGCTAAGGGTCAGTAGCTTCTTGAGGAAGGGCGGGAAGCTGGATGAGTCGAGCAACAGGCCTGGCGTAGGTTCTGTCCTTGACTTGGATCTCTGCTGTCCTCACTTTCCTGTCTGCTCCCAGGGATAACTGACTTGACAGTTCTAACTTGATCATCACAACGGTCCCAACTACAAGGTCTTCCTTATTCTTGTGCCACTTATGGCGGCCTTGAAATGCAGGTAAATAGTTCCGTGTGAAGCAGTGCCAGAAATGGTCGGCTAGAACCTGGCTGTGTCTCCATCTTTTGCGACTGAGCAGTTCAGACTCTGGGTAGACCACCTGTGGTAGTGACGAGTCTGGCCGCCCCATGAGAAGAGAGTTAGGAGTGATTGGATCCGGATCCGCGATATCCAACAACACATATCCCAAGGGCTTGGAGTTCAAGATCCCTTCTATTTCGATTAGGACAGTCCTCAGCACCTCTTTTGAAATGGTCTGCGCACCTTTGGAGTGGTTTGCAGGGCAGTCTTGATGGATCTGATCTCCTTCTCCCAGCATCCTCCAAAGTGTGGTGCACTTGGTGGGTTGAAGGCGAAGCAAGTGTCAACGTCGCGTCAATTCAAATCTGGTATTAGGAACAAAAGAGGTCAACACGACTTCTAAGATATACTAGTTATTTTAATTAATGCAAAAACCTTCAATGGTAAATATGATGTTTCGTATATACGGGCTCTCTGAGATACCTCGCAGGACACCCCAGAGAACTAACACATTGTTTCAGATCCAATACTCTGACAGAGGGAATTTCCCACTTCTCTGCTGGCCAATTATAGTAGAGACTTGAGCGTGGTTTAAACTTACTCAGCCAATCCATTGATGCACCCCTGTTGCCAGCCTCTTCTGTTACCAGGCATACGTTCATCATAACAACCTGTCATAGTGAGAAGAGCCAGCTCCCTTAGACACCATTCCTATGTCCAAGGAAGGTTCACAGATCACAAAGAACCAGTATATTCCAGCATCTGGAGACACAATCCTTATCTCATTTTACCCCCTAAAACAGCTCTTCACATCAATCACAGCCTCCCAGGTGTCACAGCCTACATTAGCCCAGTCAAGAATGCATTCTTTCTAAGTTAGTCATCCCATCAATTTAGGAGAATAATAAATCCCCAATAATCCCCCTTTTCACACCTAATAAGGTGTGATTCAAAAAATAAGAAAACACAGATTGTCATTCATTATAATACAATACATACAAAAAATCACACTTTTATTAATAGGCCATAATGATACTAGAAAATTAAAACCCTCAGTTCATCTACCCCCACTTGCAAATTGTTACCAGTCACCAAGGAACTTCAAACCATCACATAAGGAAAGACAAACATTCACATGATTAACTTGATTAATAAAGCATAAAACACAGGATTAATAGAACACAAAACATAAGACTATTAAAACATAAAACACAAACAGAGAAGTATATTTTGGCCCCCTTTAGACACCCTCTAGTGTCACTCCACCAAGCCTGGTAGGTCATATCCTCCATTCCTAGGTTGGAGTCCAGGATTGGGCCGTATCTCACCATCTGTTGGGAAATCACCTTCCCCATCTCCTTTCTCACCAAACCTCAGACACAGGAAATAAGACAACATCCACAAAGAACAAGTATACCCATAGAAGCTATAACTTCACCCAGAATAGTTACAACAATAGTTTTCCATTTATCAAATATGTTATCAAACCAACCGTTTATGGAGCTATCAATACCAGATCTCTCAGCCAGTTTATTCGTCAGTGTAGTTACTCCCCTGAAGCTCTTTTGTCACGGACCCGTCCGGTGCTATATTGTTTGAGGATGAAAATACAGCACATATATCCAAACAGAACACAAACTCCGCCCCTCTCAGCCAAAAGCATATCTAAAGCTATTCTTTTCTGCCATGTCATTAAGCTAGTTGCCGCTGTCTGCTCAGCTAATCCCTTTATTGCATCACAAGTGTGGTTTATAAATCTTTGCTGGTTATAGTAAATATAATTTATCCAATCTACGTTTTTATTAATTGTTGACCACCAGAAAATACTTGATTCAAACTCAGCTGCGATCTGATTCCTAGCTTTGAATTGTTCTGGAACCCCTCGAGTTACTCCTATCCCATCACAGGATCCTTTCATCAAAGGATCCCGGGAGGAGGTCCTACTTTCTATGTGACAACTCACCAGTCTCTGACACGTTTGATTGTTTACATATGTAGTTGAGTTCACAATCAGTTATCACCACACAACCATCAGATGTCAGCACGGGCCTGATTTTGGTTCCTAAAATCCTCTGGCTGCAACAAAGAGGAGAGATTAGTCATGGTCTCTTTTAGTTGTGATATTCTCTGTGTAGGAGCAGGTGCTAAGATGCCCTACTCTGTATCCTATCTTACTAGTCCTAAAAAACAATTAGAATCCCCTGAGACTTCAAACGTAGGCAACCTAGGCCGGAATGACTTTGTTATCGGGGGATACAGATAGTTCAAGTTACTACAAGACTCTTTCACCACATTCCCAGGTGGCTTGCATGGAGCATAAACCTGTTTTTGCGTACTTCAGACATTACCTACCCTTCTATGGGTCGCACTGCCATTTCTGGTAATTCCCTACTTTCACAATACTACACCTGTCCCTAAACTGTGTATGGAGATTTACATATCCCCCACGCTCTCGATATGAGCAACTACATAGTCCCAGGATGTACATGGTGACATACATAGGGTGATGTCCTCCCCTAAAGTCCCTAAACTTCCCCTTTCCCTACGTCTAGCTGTCTCCTATGCCTTCGTAGACTGTGCTCCGGTATTATTTTATCAACTTGTGTTAGGTTAACTACTACTTTTGGCTGATCAGAAGGGTTTGAGTGTGTTAGGAATATGGCCCCCACAATCAGACAGCTACCTACCGTCAGGAGACCTGTGAATCCCCACCCTCGCCCTGAGAACATGTCAGACGCCAACCCATTGCTTCACCTTCTACCAAACTCACACAGGGATGATCAGACAGGGTAAGGGAATCTTCGTTAAGGAGCCAACCCCCGAGCCCTAGTGGTGATCGGTTCTTTCTCCTAACTCTGTGTTTGTTCATCAGGTGTAACTGGGTTTACCTTTTTGCAGTGTGTGACATGCACCCAGGTGGATCTAATAGGACTTGATATGGCCCTTCCCAACAGGCCTGCTTCCAGTTTTTCTTCTTTTAGGGACTGGATCCACATCCAGTCTCCTGGTGAGATAGAGTGGGTCACCTTCTCCTTTAGTTCACCTGTGGGGCACAAAACCTCTGACATACGGGTGTGGTTAATAAACTATCTTCACACATACATGTTGAGCTCTCAATTTCTATTGTTGTGTTTTTTCTTTTTAAGTATTTTTTTTTCCTATCATTATTATTTAAGTATTTTTTTATTTAATCCTATCATTATTATTTAAGTATTTTTTTTATTTAATCCTATCACTATTATTTAAGTATTTTTTTATTTAATCCTATCATTATTATTTAAGTATTTTTTTATTTAATCCTATCACTCCCCCTTTTTGACACATGATTTGCCCATGTGTCATATTACCACCTTTCTAAACCATTCCTTATGTAATTTATCATCCAATTGCCATGCCTTTCATTTTTGAGATTGTCTTTTGTCTTCTTTATTGCCCTCCCACTTCCTTTGTCTTTTATGGCAGCTAAATTCAACTTTCATCCAGTTCAGAATCAATTAGTAATCCAATCTTCAATCTCTTATCTTGTAAAAACACTCATGTTTTAGTTCAAACTCTGTTCTACCCAGGCTCTCCCGGGCTTGACCTGAAGACTGATTGGTTGGACATGACCAGTCATTCTTAGGTCACCTAAGTCTTCTGTCTAGCAACAAAGAAAAAATCTCTATGTTCATGATTAACCCAGTTATATCTAATAGTCCCCAAAAACTTCAATCATCTTTAAATCACGACAAATGTCATATCCCTCGTTACTCTCTACCATTTGGATAACATCCCTGATGTATGAATGCCTCCTTAGAGTTCCAAATTATTTTACCATGGGCTGCCATTGCCTTCCCATAGATAAGATCACTTAATTTACCTGTATGCAATACATAATGAACCCAAACTTTACAGCAGTTTATCATTACCAAAAAGCTCATCATTTGTTTTTTGTTTTAACGGTTTTGGCGCTTCAAGTATAGCAGTTTTCCTGGATGAGTTTTAACATTCGCCCCTCCTGTGTTATAGTGTGTCCTAGGTATATGACCTCGCTCTGCCAAGGAAGATTTCTTTTTGCTCACTTTGTGTCCCTGTTCTGCCAGGAAGGTTAACAATTTGATTGTATCCCTCTTACATCCCTCCTGAGTGGGATTAGCCAATATAATATCATCTACATAAACTAACATTGGCTTCCTTCCCTAGGTTCAAACTTTCCCAAATTCCTAGTTATAGCCTGGACAAAGATTGTAAGACTTCCGAGTAGCCTTGAGGTATCCTAGCCTAAGTCCCATTTCCTTCCCTGAAAAGTAAAGGCAAACCACCCCGGACTATCCGGATGAAACTTGGATACTAAAGAAAGCATTAGCTAAATCTATCACTGTAAAATAGGAGTTCTCTGGTTTTCAATTGGTTCAGCAATGTATGTGGATCTGGTACACATGGAACTCTGGGAATGATATTTCTATTAAACTAACTGTAAGTCCATGACCATCCTCCAGTCGGCGCTAGGTGTCTCCTTTCTAACAGGAAATACTGGAGAGTTTGCAGTGTACCTCATCTCCAGGAATTATCACCCCTCCCTTAAAGTAAATGCTCAAATGTAGGTGTTATCCCTTTTATTGCTTCTGGTTTCATAAGGTATTGCTTTTGTTATGGTCTATTATCGGATCGAGGAATCACTTGTACTGGAGCTTCCCCCTTAATTAGGTCCTACATCTATTGTCCTTGTGACCATAATTTGAACGGAATTGCTGCTAAACTCAGCCTCCTGTTCCTGAGTTAAGAAAATCTCTTCCTGTCATCCGTTAAAATGTATCTCCAAGTGGACCCTGGGCTGGGTTTTTAATCTCCAACTCAACTTTCTGCTATATCTCCCAGTGGAGTGGCCATACTGATCCCCATTTGGTGTATTCTGCCAGTCAGTAATGTTTTTCCCCTGTTTTATCCATTTACCTAGTGATAACCATTCCTCTGAATGTTCTTTCACTAGGGCAACATGGGGGCTCCACCTTTCTCTGTACAGCCTCTGGCTCTGTGAACCCATTTTAACCCATTTTGAAAAAACAACAATCACAAATAGCCAGGCCCCACTCAATTTGATAGCTCACTTTTATGACCTAAATACTGCCTAACTGAGATGAGCTAATCTCTTTCTCCTGGTTATAATCTAAAGATGGTAGTACACACAAAACATGATAGATATATCCCCAGTCTTAACCCATCAATAATTGTTTGTATCAATCTAATTGCTCATAACTAATCCATTAAACCACTCAAAATTCCTCGAGTATACAATGATTATTTAATTGATTACCCTAACTCTGCTACATGTGATCTCATCTCAAATGATCCATTATCAATTATTTGTTCAAACCCCCTAGGAAAATCTGTTCTCCCCTTCTATTGTTCCTGTCCCCCCTGTAAATGTCCTATTTGAGTTTTAGCCAATACAATCACGGTTACATCAAATGTTTCCCTCATTTAATGGTATTTTCTTCCTAATCAACTTCCCTAAATGAGATTAAATCCCCTGCCTTCCTCTACTATCCTTATATCATTACTGGATCAATGAATAATACCTGTAATAACTGTCAATAATAATTGTAATAACTATTTCACATTAAATTGTGTCTTTTTTCTGATAATGTTATAATTGTAACCTATTCCATCACTTTAGTTTAAAATATAAGTTTATGTAACAAATCCATAACCCACCACAGGCTGGCGCTATTCCCCCATCACAACAGCCAATGTCACTTGCATCCACTTAACCAAAATACATTATCGTTCTAAAATTTACCAAAAATTTATATTTTGTATTTTCCCGGCTAACCCATTTCAGTTCGCTATTCATTTATTTAACTGTTTCTCTAATTATGCCCTAATTAAATAAAACAAATATTTGCTATCGTTGATTGGCATACATTTAATGATGTTCCTACCATCTGAACTGTACTGTCTCTCACCCTCCCCTTGCTCCTTCGGGGAGAGCGCATGGTAACCTTATAACATATTTTCATAGACTTTTCTAGAATACTTCTATTTAAGCTATCTAATTCAACCTTTCACATTTCTCATCCACATAGTAATCTAGTATATAGCCCCACTGCGAAAGCTTTGTCTACTGTCCCTATCCTGTGTTTGAACCAGGGACATCGCCAGTCACTCCACACCATCTGCGATGCTCTCAAAGTAACTACTCACCAACTACGTCACCAAATGAAAATCGCAGTAGCTTTCACCTCAGCAAAAAACTCTCTCTTTTCCTTTGATTTCCTATTGAATAAGTTAGTTTTTCTATTTAACAACCCCTAAACACGCTACAAATAGTCCATTCAACATGTACCAAACCAATACTCATCGTACCCATTCAATCAACACATCAGCCGTGGAATTTACACTCATAATGCAGATTGGTTACTCCATGCCTTGAAATGATAAATAGATTTCCACCAATAGTACCCCAATTAATGATCTCATCTTACCCTCTGACACCAAAATGAAGTTCCCTCACTGTACTACGTTACTCTACCATGATAATTAGTTCAATTTAACCCTCTATTTGCTTTGTACTATATTAATACATTACTCTAAAAACAACATTACTTATGGTCAGTTTATTCCGCCATCATATTATCCAACAACGCCACAATCTTAAACTGATATGGGGGGCTGGCAGTTTAGTGACCAATAGCGCGCGCCAACAACCGAGAGGTCGCCGGTTACAATCCCCAGCCGACCAGGTGAAAAATCTGCCGATGGTGACCGCCAAAGGGGGGGGGAAAATTCCCCCCAATTGCTGGGGCCTAAATGGGGCCTGGCAAGACGTCTCCCAAAATTTAAACCCGGGCAAATTATATTTCTCATTTTCTCACCCTTTTGAGGGACTATGCGTTGGGGTAAAAATTTAAACTTTCTCCGTCAATACCCACAGGGCGTTCCCACCCCAAACCCCGGTTTTTTTTTTTCGGGGCTCCAAACCAAAAACTTCCCTCTTCTCCATCCCCCTCCCCCCTCCCTCATTTTTAACGTTTTTAAGCTGTTCTTTTTCCGGCCCACGCCCTCCCATTTCCCCTTTCCCCAACCCCCAAAAAACTAAAAACCCCACTAAATAAAAAACCAATACCCCAAACTAGTTAAAAAGTTTTTTGGCACGCCCCACACCAAAACAAAAACCGAATCTTTTCAGCCCCAATTTGTTAAAAAACCAACCGCACTTTGCACGGTAAACATCAACCCCAAACAATCAAAAACGCCCAAATCCCCCAAACCAGCACCCAAAACCAGTACATGCTAATGTGCAAACATCAAAACATCAAATCAATAACTAAACCGAATTGCTTTGACACAACTTCAAAAGCAGTATTATGCTATGTCCAAACACCAAATGTTATATTTCAATATATCAATTCCAAACGTTCTAGTTCAGTCACACTCATTCATCACTTTAGTTTTATGTTCCCAATTGTTTTTTAACGGGTTTATATGGTTTAAGCAACCCACAAATCCAACAGTTTATTCCCAATTTATACCGTTTGGACAGCCACAGACGTCTTTTGATTCCCAATTTGTTTTTCTATCAAGGTACACAGGTTTATCATTCACACTTTCTGCATACGACTACACTCGCACTGTCTAACTTTTTATAGTACCTCCTATGGGTGTCTTTTGTTAATGTTTGCACACTTTTAAACTTTATTTCCTAATTGTAATTCTCATTAATTTACTGTTTTAAAATATTCTTTGTATTCACAGTCAAAAATGGTACACAGTTAAACGTAGTATACAGTTATCACACAGCAAAAATAGTACACAGTTATCGCACTCACTCACAATACACAGTCATAATCCTATCATACCAGTCAATATGTCACACAGTCATAAATGACACACTTATATTCCACACCACAATCTATTTGGGCACACAGCCGCGTCTATTTTATTCAAAACACTGTGCTGAACCTAGCCGCAACCCTTAGTTACGGACCTTGGCCAGTCACCAGTATTATCTAAAATTTCCCGAACCTAGCCGTATCTCAGTTACGGACCTTGCCGGTGTAATTCTTCGAACCTTAGTCGTACTGTCGTAGTTACGAACCTTGCCGATAGCAATTACTTAAAACCAATTATTCCCTATATCTTCCGAACCTTAGCCGTATTGTCGCAATTACGGACCTTGCCGGTAGATGTCAGTATTGTCTCCTGAACCTAGCCGTATCTTAACGGACCTTGCCGGTAGAACCAACACTCTCTGGTACCATGGTTTAAACATCACATTTACTAAAGGTTTGCATGTCACAATATTGTGCTTATCTACTCATAATAGTTTCATAATTAGTTCACTTACATCAGACAGGTGTTTCACAAATTAATTTGGATAAAGCCAATGTGCAGATCTTTGGTTATTTAACAATAGGTATCTGCTTACCTTTTTAGAAGCCCGGGCAGTTTGTGAAACACACGGTTCGATGAAAGAGGTGACCAAAATGGGCCGGACATTTACCCAGCGAAGTCCCTTCTAACCAGACCGCGTCGGGGTCACCAATTGTCAAAGTCGCGTCAATTCAAATCTGGTATTAGGAACAAAGAGGTCAACACGACTTCTAAGATCTACTAGTTATTTTAATTAATGCAAAAACCTTCAATGGTAAATATGATGTTTCGTATATACGGGCTCTCTGAGATACCTCGCAGGACACCCCAGAGAACTAACACATTGTTTCAGATCCAATACTCAAATACTCTGACAGAGGGAATTTCCCACTTCTCTGCTGGCCAATTAGAGTAGAGACTTGAGCGTGGTTTAAACTTACTCAGCCAATCCATTGATGCACCCCTGTTGCCAGCCTCTTCTGTTACCAGGCATACGTTCATCATAACAACCTGTCATAGTGAGAAGAGCCAGCTCCCTTAGACACCATTCCTATGTCCAAGGAAGGTTCACAGATCACAAAGAACCAATATATTCCAGCATCTGGAGACACAATCCTTATCTCATTTTACCCCCTAAAACAGCTCTTCACATCAATCACAGCCTCCCAGGTGTCACAGCCTACATTAGCCCAGTCAAGAATGCATTCTTTCTAAGTTAGTCATCCCATCAATTTAGGAGAATAATACATCCCCAATACAAGTCTTCTGACTGGCTAACTGTTCCTGGAGCTGTGGATGGAGAGTCATGAAGGCCTCCTGTAACTCTCGCTCCCCTCCCTTGAAATTTGTTCCTCGATCGGACAGGATCTCAAAGGGCTTTCCTCTTCGAGCGATGAAGCGTCTCAACGCCAACTGTAGTCCCCTGTAGCTCAGTTGGTAGAGCATGGCGCTTGCAACGCCAGGGTTGTGGGTTCGTTTTCCACGGGGGGCCAGTATGAAAAATGTATGCACTCACTAACTGTAAGTCGCTCTGGATAAGAGCGTCTGCTAAATGACTAAAATGTAAAAAAATTAGGAATGAATCGGAATGGCTGCCCTCCCTCTAAGAATCCAGAACCTTTGACGTAACTCAGCAAACACCCTCTCTGGGCCCGGGTGCCTCAGCTGCTCATCATATTTCTTGATCAGCAACCTGGTGAGCAGATGACCTGGGTCCAGAACCACTGAGTGAAGAACATCAGGGCCCAGCTGATCACACCTCTGAAGGCGAACTCCAACACGAATCAGTCCAGTGTTGTCGTCATACTCCGGGGCCAGCGTCACCAGACGGCTGCTCGGAAGGATTGGCTTGCCTGCCTCTAGTAGGGAGACGTCTTCTGGGAAGCTCTCAGACTGAGCATGTCTGAGTACTTCGAATTCTGCCTGCTTGAAATCGTCGGCTGAAGGGCTGTCGGCACTACTGGCTGCCCTGTGTAGCAACTGCACTGTGGCTTCCACCAGCTCATGGAAATTGTTGAACTGGGCAACATCAGGGAGAGACAACTTGGTGTCCACTGACAGGAGTCCACAGAATGTATGCTTCCGCAGCTCCTCTGCTTCGTCAGGGGGTACTTGGTCTGGTCTTCTCGGCCAGGATGACTGGGCCTGCCACAGGAATGGAGGACCTTGACTCAAACGGTTGTGTTCTGAAAGCTGAGACAGCGTCTTGCCACGTGTGTTATCATGTATTTCTCTCTGTGTCCACGTAACGCCAGGCCTGGGGTCTGTGAGCTCCTGTATTTTTGTGACTCTTGTGCCTACAAATACTTTGTACCTGCAGGAGTCTGACTGGAGCCAGGTTAAGACTGTTGTAGAATCCGACCTCATGGATTTCCAGGGTGAGTTCTTTTCTGATGACCACGGCCAGCTGGGCACCGGTGAGTGCAGCGCAGAGCTTGAGTCTTGGCATCGACTGTTTTGGGGCCACTATTGATCTTGCTGCAAGGAATGCTATTTGGATCCGTCCATTGTTGTCTTCAGTACGGGGGTACGCAACGGCACCTTACGCACGTTCTGAGGCATCACTGAAGACGTGAACACTTCTTTTGCTGGTTGGGAGGTCCATGTCGGGGCTGACGTAACACCTTGGCAGTGTGACCTGAGACAGCTGTGGAAGTTCGTTCTCCCAAATAAGCCACGCTTGGAGAAGATCTTCAGGTAGGTCTGGGTCATCCCACCCTCTTTTCTTATTCCAGAGCCTCTGGACCACAACCTTGGCCCGTGTGGTGTATGGGACGATGAAGCCAAGTGGATCGTACTGGCTGGCAAGGATCCGATATATGTGGCGCATGGTGGGTTCAACTTTCTCCATGTGACCTTGCTTGTAGCCAAGAGTGTCAGACAGACATTGCCATCGTAATCCAAGGGTGTGCTCTTGGGGTTCCACGCCATCCTGGGTGAACCACAGCTCACCGTTCTCTGACCTGGACTCTTGAGGTAGGTGTTCAATGACTGCTGGAAGGTTGCTGGCCTACTGGCGTAGATCGAATCCTCCCTCAGCAAGAAGGGGCTTCAGCTTGTCCACCAGTTTCTTGGCTTCATCCGCAGAGGGGAGGCTTTGTAGAAAGTTGTCTACATAGAAACAGCGTTCTATAGAATCTCACATCTTCTTCGGGCTCACTGTGGTCGAACACATGCTTCTAAAGGGCAAACGTGGCGCAGCAGGGGCTACATGTCGTCCCAAAGGGAAGAACCTGCCACTCATAGACATCAGCGTAATCATCACGGTTTAGTCTCGCCACAGAACCTGAGAAATGGCTGGTCTTCGGAAGCAGGCGACTTGATGAACTCCCCTTTATGTCACTTCTGATGACACAGAGTGTTCAAACGAGAAGGCCCAGCAAGTAGCTCCCAAGGTGTCGGGAAGAGTTTTGTTCACCTTGCCCCTGTAGTTAGGTTGAAGATGACTCGCATGTGATGGACCATATGAAACTGAGAATGTTGAGGCCCAAAAAGGTGAAACATTCCTTTGTTTGGGGGTTTTGGGCCCCTTGGGGTTACGCCATGGGGGGGGAACCAACAGTTTTAAAGGTTCCCCCTCCCCCTTGGAAAAATCTTAGGTGGGTTTTACCCCATTTTTTCGGGAAGGTTGGGCCCCTTGGGCCCACTGGCTTTGGGGACGTTTTAAGCAAGGGGAAGGGGTAAAGTTTGGCCCCCGTTTTTGGCTTTTTAAATTCCCAAAGGGGGGGAGGGTTTTGTAGAAAATTTGTCAAAAAAAACAGCATGAATCCAATTTTTTGGGGGGGTTGGCCACCGGGGGGCCAAACACCAGTTCTAAGCCGGGGCCCTTGGGGAGGGGCTCCCTTGGGGGGTTCCAAAAAGGGGAAGAACCTCCCCCAAAGAAAGGGGGGAATCATTCCCCCCTTTTTTTGGTTTTCCCCAGAAACAAACCTAAAAGAAAAGGTTCTGGTCTCAAACCGGCCCCAAACTTGGGGAAAACCCCCCCTTTTTTAAAAGGCAAACGTGGCCACAGGGGTTCCTGCCCGGCCCAAAGGGAAAAAGGGCCCTCCAAACAAGCCCCAAGGAAATTCCGGGGGGTTTTTGAAAGGGGCCTTGGCCCCCCTGGTTTGGGAACCAGGGAAGAGGGAACCCCCTTTTTTCCGTTTTTTTCCCGGAGGAGGAAAGGGGAAGGACCCAACCTTTGGAGCTCCCGGATTGGGTATTGGGGGGGAAAATTTTTTAAACTTCCCCGGATTAAAACTTTTAAAATTCTGTGTTTTTCCCTTTTGGAACCTTGGGGAAAACCCAACCCGGGTTCTCTTGCCCTGGGAGATTTAAAGGCCGGCCCCTTCCCCCTTGGAAATTCCGGGAGGAATTTCTTTTTTTCCCTTGGACAAAAGGGGAGGGCCCATACCTTTTGCCCCTTCGGATTTTGGGGGGAAAAAGGTTCTTTTTTCCCCAAAGGGGAGGGGCATCCTTTCCCCTTTTTTTTAAACCGGGGACGAGCTTCTCACTCCTGTACGATAGCGTATCCAACTGCTAGAGCTTCTCTACATGGCTGAAGCGCTCTGCAGATGAAGAGACAAGGGATGTATGAAGGCACTGTTGTGGAGCAAGACTTTGCTGCAGGAACTTTGAAGGACCTTGAAGAGTCCATCCGAGCTGAGTCTTGATGGCGGCAAGCCTGCCAGGGGGACCCAAACGCACTGGCTCCGTCGGGATGATTGATGGGGATAGTCTGATCCGATGAGCAGTAATGGCTGCGCCTGGTCCAGCGGTTGAAGGGGTAGGCCTTTGAGGTGCTGATATATTTTCTTAAGGGCTTGGACCGGGTAGGTATGCGGTGCAAGGCGTAACTCTTCAGCTGTGAAGGCTCTGTGGATGTCAAATGACCTGTTTGGTTGAGTAACAGGGGTCACAGAGAATGACACAGAAGCTCCATGGATGACTCGGATATCTTGACGCACCGTACAAAGTGCCAAGTCCTCAGGATTTCCTTGGAGGCCTAGCTGCTTCATGTAGAAGTATAGTGCGCTCCGACCCCTCATCCAACAGGGCGTACGTGTCAAGTGACTTGTTGCCGCTCCGCAAGATGACTCGACTCATCTTCGGCAGCACCTTGCTGCTGCCGGAAGGTCGATCAACATAGAAGGTCTCTGCGGTGGAGCTCACCAGGCAAATGCTCTCTGTTGACGCCTTTGTGCTGGTGGTCTTCATAGCGTTCGTGCTAGCGTTCTTTGTAGCAGTCGGGCTAGTGTTGACCTCGTGGATAATCTCAAGATGCTTCTTCTCGCACTTCTTGCACTTAGCCTTGAGAGTACACTGAGCTGCTTGGTGTTCGCGTCCACACTTCCAACATCTTTAATTTGTCTTGATCCAGGATTCTTTCTGTTCTCTGGAAAGGAAATGAAAGTTGGTGCATTGATTCACGTAATGCTGCGTGGTGTTGCAGAACGGACAATACTTTTTGGCTTCTCCCGTGACCTTTTTTCCGGAGACTAGCTCTGTGCAGAGAGTTCGACTTCGTCCTTTCTCTACTCACCTCCATGGAGGATGTTGACGGTCTTGGGGAATTATTTGTCTTTACACTGATCTCGGCGTGAGCTAGGGTGGTCCCTGTTTTGTTTGCTACTGAACTGCGTGCCATCTACTTGCACTCTCACCTCGTACTCGAGCCACTCTCCCAGGTGAAGGAGGGTTGGAATGGGTGTCTTGATGGTGTTCACACATCTCTTGAAGCTGGCTCTTAGGTCGTGTGGTAACTTAGCTAAGAGGCGTGAGACGTGTGAGCCACACCTCAGTTCTGTCTGTCCATTACTCCCTAGCTGATCCAACATGCCAACCAAGGCACGCACCCTCAGAGCGAATCTTCGGAATGCCTTGGTGTCACCACTCTTGATGTTGGGGCCATCCATGCGGCGTTGGAGGGCAAGCTGGTGGGGCTGGCCATACAGTTCTGTGAGGGACTCCATGGTGGCACTGTATGGGTACCTGCTGTTGCTGTAGGAATCGGCAATTAGCAAAGCCTCTTCTAACTTCAAGTGGTCCACCAATATCTGAAACTTGAAGCACTCTGTTGCATTTACAGGCTGCACATTGTCGAGGGCCACCTTCAGCCTTGCAAACTCTCGTGGGTCTTCATTGAAGAAGTTGGGGATGGTAGGAGTTGGTCCACGGTGGACGCGCTCCCGGCTGGGTGGAGAAGGTGTGTGGTAGCGGACAGGTGAGTGCCGACAACGATCAGGTGAGTAGACCCGGCGGTGACAGTCAGGCGAGTAGTCGCAGTGGCGATGGTCAGGTGAGGAGTGATGACAACGGTCAGGTGAGTAGTCGCGGCGGCTACGGTCAGGCGTGGGCTGACAATGGCAATCAGTAGAGGGTTTACGATGGCAATCAGGCATAGGCTGACCGTAGCGGTCAGTTGAGTAGTCGCGTCGGCGTCAGTCAGGTGAGTAGTCGCGGTGAAAGTCAGGTACAGGCTGACGATGGCGATCAGGTGTAGGCTGACCGTAGCGGTCAGGTGAGTACTCGCAACGGTCAGGTGTGTAGTCGCAGCGGCGACAGTCAGGTGTGAGCTGACGACGGCGATTAGGGGAAGGCTGACCGTAACGGTCAGGTGAGTAGTCGCGGCGGCGATGGTCAGGTGCAGGCTGACGACGGTTATTAGGTGTAGGCTGACCACAGCGGTTAGGTGAGGGCTGACGTTGCCGATCCTGTGAAGTCAGCCCTCTAGGTGGCGCTGTAGGGCTATGAGTTCTGCAATGAGAAGTCGACCGGTCTCGCTGGTGCGATGGCTCACGACGTCGAGGGGTGACTGTTCTGAGAAGGAGAGCCCTCTGATCCCAAAGTTTTCAATGAGCTGCTCCATCTTATCACGCTGCCTTTGTGACTGCAGTTTATCATCTCTGGTTGTCACCAGCTGTGCCCGCTCAGGCTGACTTTGATGATGACAATCTCTAGTCGAGGTGCGCCTGCTATGGGGGGCCGGTGAGTTGGCCATTGATGACGGTGAGGCTCCATCCTCACTGTTGCAGGTCAGCCTGGGTGACTTGAACTGTTGGGGACCCATTGAAGCGGATTAATTTAGCTCTTCCGATAGCTCGAGTATCTCCCGTGTCAACTTCTCAGTTTCCTCTCCTATAAGCTTCAGGTACGTTACGACTGTTCTGGAAGAAGAACAGGTTTTTCTCTCATCTTGTACAGGAGGGTAGCTGCTGCTGGTCTTGTTGTGAGAGTAATTAATTCCACTCACAGCGCCCTCTGCTCGTGGTCCCTCGTTGAAGTGGTGTGTTGTTGTGTGTGGTGTATGCCTTGACTCGTAGCTTACCTCATAGTCGACCATACGATGTGGGGGGCGAGTCTGACGGCGGGGATGAACCACAACTTGTGGAAGATCTTCTCTGGAGACTGGCATCCTTGAACTCTGGCAGTTACTGAATCCGGCTCGAAGGTCCATGAAAAATATGGGTTGCTTATGAATTCGAAGGACCAATAAAAAGGGATAAAAAACGTAGGTGCTGGATTTTAGGCCGGCAGCAACCACCACAGGGTGTCCGTTCAGAACACGAGGAAGCAGTAGTTCCAGTTCAAGGCTTAATGAAGATCTACACACACGCATACAACACCACTCTCTCTGATACTAATCGTGGTTCTGTAAAGAAAAGAGGAGAACTTAGGCTATAGCACAGTATGGGAAAGATATGCCTATTTGCATGTCAATAACTAAACAGGCTATATGGACCCAAACACATGATAGATGCACAAAGAACAATACAGCAATGTAGAAATAACTACACATTATAAATCAACATAATAAGCATGAGCAATCTATAACCGAAAATAACCTAGCACCACATACAAATGCTAACAAATGCTAATCACTAACAAGCATGCTAAATAGACATGCATTCAGGATGACAATGCTAATGCTAATGCTAACCCTAGCAGGAGTACGCAAGCTAACTGTCTAACAAGTTTAACACAAATTGTACATATTTACAACATATACTATTTAGCTCCAAACAACAGGACATCAGGATTTTGGAACTTACATTTAGCTGCACGCACAATAAATATCAGAAAGAAAAGCAATTTCTTCTAAGGAGGTAATATAAGCAGGAAAGAAAAACAGGTTGGTCATCAGAATGGAAACTACAGACTGCCTGAGGCCCTGCCTGGTTGGGGAAGGAGATGAATCCAGGGGGAAAAGGCTGCTGATTGGCTAATAAAATTATGACGATTGAAGTGACCTTATTCTAATAGGAAAACCACACTTATCGTTACATGTCATTTGCGGTGTGCATGATCATGAGCAAAGTCATTGTAGCCTATCATTTTACTTCCCCTGTGAGAACCATGAGCACAGGCATATCAGCCATCTTTCAATAGTTATCCATATTCAGTGGCAACATGTCATTCAAGGCATGTGGGGCAGAATAATAGTGAAGACATCAAAACTATGAAATAACACATATGGAATGTAGTAACCAAAAAAGTGTTAAACAAATAAAAATATATTTTATATTTGAGATTCTTCAAAGTAGCCACCCTTTGCCTTGATGACAGCTTTGCATTCTCTCAACCAGCTTCATGAGGTAGACCTGGAATGTCTAGAACAGTCTTGAAGGAGTTTCCACATATGCTGAGAACTTGTTGGCTGCTTTTCCTTCACTCTGCGGTCCAACTCATCCCAAACCATCTCAAATGGGTTGAGGTCGGGTGATTGTGGAGGCCAGGTCATCTGATGCAGCACTCCATCACTCTCCTTCTTGGTAAAATAGCCCTTACACAGCCTGGACGTGTGTTTTGGGTCATTGCCCTGTTGAAAAACAAATGATAGTCCCACTAAGCCCAAACCAGAAGGGTAGCCATACTGGTTAAGTGTGCCTTGAATTCAAAATAAATCACAGAGAGTGTCACCAGCAAAGCACCCCCACACCATCACACCTCCTTCTCCATGCTTTACGGTGGGAAATACACATGCAGAGATCATCCGTTCTCCCACACCACGTCTCACAAAGACACGGCGGTTGGAATCAAAAAGCTCAAATTTGGACTCCAGACCAAAGGACAGATTTCCACCTGTCAAATGTCCATTGCTTGTGTTTCTTGGCCCAAGCAGGTCTCTTCTTATTTGTGTCCTTTAGTAGTGGTTTCTTTGCAGCAATTTGACCATGAAGCCCTGATTCACACAGTCCCCTCTGAACAGTTGATGTTGAGATGTGTCTGTGGCTTGAACTCTATGAAGCATTTATTTGGGCTGCAAGTTCTGAGGCTCGTAACTCTAATGAACTTATCCTCTGCAGCAGAGGTAACTCTGGATCTTCCATTCCTGTGGTGGTCCTCATGAGAGCCAGTTTCATCATAGCGCTTGATGGTTTTTGCGACTGCACTTGAAGAAACTTTCAAAGTTATTGACATTTTCCATATTGACTGACCTTCATGTCTTAAAGTAATGATGGACTGTTGTTTCTCTTTGCTTATTTGAGCTGGTCTTGCCATAATATGGACTTTGTCTTTTACCAAATAGAGCTATATTCTTTTTTTATTCTGTTTTGCATGTTATTTTGGCATTAATATGTGTCACATATTAGTTTGCAAACAATGTAAAAAAAAATATTTGCGTTAATAAAGCCGCATACAAACATGGTCTCTTTTTTGCTTTCTTGAGTAAGGCAGCTCCAAAATGCAGGTGTTTCAGCCTAGCTCAGTGCTTTCTGTGGTGGTGGGGCAGCCAGAGGAAAACACGGAGCGTTGGGGTTGGTAATGTTATCTAGTTGCGCCGTGGTTGGCTCAGTGTTCTGTCACTCATGGGGACACTTCATCACCACAAAATGTACGGTTAGAGCCCCTTGGGTGCTGCTATAGACTTACATTAGAAGTGTCCATCCAAGACAGCTCAACGTCATTGGCCAGAGATAAAATTATGTCAAATCACATTATATCTACCTTAGCTTTGATTGGACTAATCATGTCAACGTCTTACTTTCAAAATCTTAGCTAGCAAACTAGACAAGTACTCATCACCATGCATCAATTGGCAATCTACTGGTAAATCCTTTTCAATCCTTGTCATATGAAGATAAATTATTAAGAGACATTTTAGATAAAACGTATCGGTGCTCATTGTCCATTGGACATAAACATTAGACAACAAGTTGGAAATTGCAAATTCAACAATGAGTGCTAAGGCGCCACTACAGACCCAGGTTCGATCCCAGGCTGTGTCGCAGTCGGCCACTACCGGGAGACCAATGAGGCGGCGCACAATTGGCCCAGCATCGTCCGGGTTAGGGGAGGGTTTGGCCGGCCGGGATGTCCTTGTCCCATCACGCTCTATCGACTCCTTGTGGCGGGCCGAGCGCATGCACGCTGACACGTGTCGCCAGTTGTACGGTGTTTCCTCCGACACATTGGTGTGGCTGGCTTCCAGGTTAAGCGAGCAGTGTGTCAAGTAGCAGTGCGGCTTGGCAGGACCGTGTTTCGGAGGACACATGGCTCTCGACCTTCGCCTCTCCCGAGTCCGTACGGGAGTTGCAGCGATGGGACAAGACTGTAACTACCAATTGGATACAAAAAAAAACAAAAAATAGCTCAGACTGGGAAAATACGTAAAATTATTTTTTATGGTCATCCAACTCTGAATTCCAAGTCGGGATATCAGGCCTCTTTCTAGAGCTCACAAGAAGGACCGTCGCGCCACCTTCCTGTTCAAGTGAGCACAGAGTTTATGCTGCTGCATAAATAATGTCATATGCCAGGGAGATATGTATACTGTAGCTAAGAAAAACTAAGTGTATGTTGTGTAGTAAGCTGTTAGTAGCCCATGTGCCTCACCCTAATAATTTGCTCCCTTTTCACCTCATAACTGACATGTCCTTTAAGCCTTACTAGTGCATAACAGCTGAAAGAGTTATGGTCATTGAACATGAACCTGAAATGAGGGGTACTAAACTGCAGAACACTCACAGAACAAGTCTGGCACAGCTCTTGGGTGAGCCGCTACAGTATCTGCTGCAGGTTCTTGGAATCCTGCCTCTTTTTAGGGATCAGTTTGAACTTCTTGTTCTCCCCGGGTTTCACCCGCAGCTTCCGATCATTCATGTCGTGCTCTAACCGGGACAACATGGCCTGCAGACTGTCCTTCTCACTGAACTCCATGACAGTGTACACAACCTGTGGACGGAACACTATGGATTATTTACTCATTATATGACTGGGGTCATGTCCGAGGATTGTGTCAGCCAACTGTAAAGGGTGGGGATCTATAAGATAACTGCAAAGAATATTCCTCAGGGTTCAACGTTTTTCACTGGCCCGGTCGGGCCAGATGGCCAAGAATCTACTGTCCCGAACAGAATTTCTACTGGCCTGGACATGGGGTATTTTATAAATGCATTAGGGTCATGCAGGGCCTAGGTTGACATTATTTCTCTATATACACTCACTGGCCAGTTTATTAGGTACACCACGTGGCTGTGGCTTTATATACAGTATAAAGCAGGCAGACAGGAATTGAGGCATTCAGTTTCTGTTCGATTTAATGTTAGAATTGGCAAAACGAGTGACCTAAGAGACTTTGAGTGTGGTATGATTGTCGGTGCCAGGCCCGCAGGATCAAATATCTGAAAAAACAGACGCCCGCCTGGGCTTTTCACGCACGACAATGTCTAGGGTTTACAGAGAATGGTGCAAGCTAACAGGCGGGCCACAAACAGTGGTGTACAGAACGGCATTTCTGAACGCACAGCTCGTCGATCACATATGGGCTATTGCAGCAGACGACTACACCAGGTTCCACTCCTATCAGCTGAAAACAAGAAGAATCGGCTCCAGTTGGCATGCGATCACCAATACTAGACAATTGAGGAATGGAAAAACATTGCCTGGAACATGACAGCGAGTTCAGTTTACTTGAGTGGCCTGCGCAGTCCGCACACCTCAACCTAATAGAGCATCTTTGGGATGAGATGGAACGGGCTGTTTGCAGCATGAATGTACTGCCGTCCTATCTGCAGCAACTGCGTGATGCCATCGTGTCAGCATGGACCAACATCCCTGTGGAACGTTTCTGAGACCTTGTAGAATGCCCCGAAGAATTAAGGCTGTTCTGGAGGCGAAGAGGGGTTCGACCCCAGTACTAGGTGGGTGTACCTAATACACTGGCCGGTGAGTGTATATTCAGTTAGTAATAGGCTACATTTGGTTATTATGGTAGATATTAAAAAGCTGTATAATATAATTTAGCAATGTAAGACATTATCATGTTCTTTAAAATTGCATTATATTAATTGCATTTACTTTTGTTTCTAAATTATGCCATTTTAAGAATATTTGTTTTATACATCTCAAACTAGGACGTTGCCCATTTTAAGACAACTGCTTTTAAAAAGATACAGTTGAAGTCGGATGTTTACATACACTTAGGTTGGAGTCATTAAAACTTGTTTTTCAACCACTCCACACATTTCTTGTTAACAAACTATCGTTTTGGCAAGTCGGTTAAGACATCTACTTTGTGCATGACATAAGTCATTTTTCCAACAATTGTTTACAGACAGATTATTTCACTTATAATTCACTGTATCACAATTCCAGTGGGTCAGAAGTTTACATACACTAAGTTGACTGTGCCTTTAAACAGCTTGGAAAATTCCAGAAAATGATATCATGGCTTTAGAAGCTTCTGATAGGCTAATTGACATCATTCGAGTCAATTGGAGGTGTACCTGTGGATGTATTTCAAGGCCTACCTTCAAACGTAGTGCCTCTTTGCTTGACATCATGGGAAAATCAAAAGAAATCAGCCAAGACCTCAGAAAAAATATTGTAGACCTCCACAAGTCTGGTTCATCCTTGGGAGCAATTTCCAAACGCCTGAAGGTACCACGTTCATCTGTACAAACAATAGTACCCAAGTATAAACACCATGGGACCACGCAGCCGTCATACAGCTCAGGAAGGAGACGCGTTCTGTCTCCTAGAGATGAACGTACTTTGGTGCGAAAAGTGCAAATCAATCCAAGAAACAACAGCAAAGGACCTTGTGAAGATGCTGGAGGAAACAGGTACAAAAGTATCTATATCCACAGTAAAACGAGTCCTATATCGACATAACCTGAAAGGCCGCTCAGCAAGAAGTCACTGCTCCAAAACCGCCATAAAAAAGCCAGACTATGGTTTGCAACTGCACATGGGGACAAAGATCGTACTTTTTAGAGAATTGTCCTCTGGTCTGATGAAACAAAAATAGAACTGTTTGGCCATAATGACCATCGTTATGTTTGGAGGAAAAAGGGGGCCCTTGCAAGCCGAAGAACACCATCCCAACCGTGAAGCATGGGGGTGCTTTGCTGCAGGAGGGACTGGTGCACTTCACAAAATAGATGGCATCATGAGGAAGGAAAAGTATGTGGATATATTGAAGCAACATCTCAAGACATCAGTCAGGAAGTTAAAGCTTGGTCGCAAATAGGTCTTCCAAATGGACAACGACCCCAAGCATACTTCCAAAGTTGTGGAAAAATGGCTTAAGGACAACAAAGTCAAGGTATTGGAGTGGCCATCACAAAGCCCTGACCTCAATCCTATAGAACATTTGTGGGCAGAACTGAAAAATGTGTGCGAGCAAGGAGGCCTACAAACCTGACTCAGTTAAACCAGCTCTGTCAGGAGGAATGGGCCAAAATTCACCCAACTTATTGTGGGAAGCTTGTGGAAGGCTACCCAAAATGTTTGACCCAAGTTAAACAATTTAAAGGCAATGCTACCAAATATTAATTGAGTGTATGTAAACCTCTGACACACTGGGAATGTGATGAAAGAAATAAAAGCTGTAATAAATCATTCCCTCTACTATTATTCTGACATTTCACATTCTTAAAATAAAAAGTGGGGATCCTAACTGACCTAACACAGGGCATTTTTACTAGGATTAAATGTCAGGAATTGTGAAAAACTGAGTTTAAATGTATTTGGCTAAGGTGTATGTAAACTTCCGACTTCAACTGTAGATCTGCCTAGTGGCCAAAGCAAGCTAGACAAGACGAACGCTAGGTGTCTATTTGTAGCTTTCGTTTTGCAGACTATCAACAGTAGCCACTAGTCTTACTTTTGTAAATCACTTTCCCTAAAATAAATAAGCTCAGCGATTGGATTGATGAGCGCTTCTTTTTAATCTAGACAGTTTGCATTTGCCGTGTGAAAGTATCAACTCATGTACTGCTCAAGTGCTTGAGAAATTGTGACTTGCGAGGAGCGTGGTCGAATTCACGGCCAATCACATTGCACATAGATAAAAAGCGTGACTTTTCCGCGTGTAGTCTTCAATAGTTTTCAATGGCAACTGCGATATAGCAGGTAAATGTCAAACTAGAACACCAAAATGCGCTGAGAAGTCACTGGCCCGACATGTTTTACTGGCCCCAGGCCAGCAGACTATTGTGTGTGTCATTTCAATCATAGAAATAGAATTCAAGTCTGGGGGCAGAGATCGGGAGCTGCAGTAAACTTTGCACCATTTGTTCTCTTTACAGGTTCTGTTGGAACCGCTTCATAGAAGACCTGCCTCTTCAGCTTTAATGTGACCTCCATTTATTTGTGTTATGTTTTGTCAAACATTACAGCCTTGTTTCGTTTAACAGCCATGTCATTTTAGCTAAGATGACTACAATGGAAATATTTATCTGTGAGTTTATCCTCAATAATTTGAATTAATGTACTTTTTTCAATGTCTGGGGGATAACCTCCATGTACAGTGGGGGAAAAAAGTATTTAGTCAGCCACCAATTGTGCAAGTTCTCCGACTTAAAAAGATGAGAGAGGCCTGTAATTTTCATCATAGGTACACGTCAACTAAAAAAATTCCAGAAAATCACATTGTAGGATTTTTAATGATGAATTTATTTGCAAATTATGGTGAAAATAAGTATTTGGTCACCTACAAACAAGCAAGATTTCTGGCTCTCACAGACCTGTAACTTCTTCTTTAAGAGGCTCCTCTGTCCTCCACTCGTTACCTGTATTAATGGCACCCGTTTGAACTTGTTATCAGTATAAAAAACACCTGTCAACAACCTCAAACAGTCACACTCCAAACTCCACTATGGCCAAGACCAAAGAGCTGTCAAAGGACACCAGAAACAAAATTGTAGACCTGCACCAGGCTGGGAATACTGAATCTGCAATAGGTAAGCAGCTTGGTTTGAAGAAATCAACTGTGGGAGCAATTATTAGGAAATGGAAGACATACAAGACCACTGATAATCTCCCTCGACCTGGGGCTCCACGCAAGATCTCACCCCGTGGGGTCAAAATGATCACAAGAACGGTGAGCAAAAATCCCAGAACCACACGGGGGGACCTAGTGAATGACCTGCAGAGAGCTGGGACCAAAGTAACAAAGCCTACCATCAGTAACACACTACGCCGCCAGGGACTCAAATCCTGCAGTGCGAGACGTGTCCCCCTGCTTAAGCCAGTACATGTCCAGGCCCGTCTGAAGTTTGCTAGAGTGCATTTGGATGATCCAGAAGCTGATTGGGAGAATGTCATATGGTCAGATGAAACCAAAATAGAACTTTTTGGTAAAAACTCAACTCGTCGTGTTTGGAGGACAAAGAATGCTGAGTTGCATCCAAAGAACACCATACCTACTGTGAAGCATGGGGGTGGAAACATCATGCTTTGGGGCTGTTTTTCTGCAAAGGGACCAGGACGACTGATCCGTGTAAAGGAAAGAATGAATGGGGCCATGTATTGTGAGATTTTGAGTGAAAACCTCCTTCCATCAGCAAGGGCATTGAAGATGAAACGTGGCTGGGTTTTTCCAGCATGACAATGATCCCAAACACACCGCCCGGGCAACTCCAGAGTCCTTTAGTTAGATTTTCACGAAGAGCTTGGAATTTCCCCAAATCAATTTTGCAAGGACATGGAGAGTGTCTAGTACAATGTTATTGTCACAAAATTGTGAAAACAGAGTGTGTTATCTATAAGCCTCTACAAAGTCTTTTTGATGATTTTATAATAAGTGCCAGGTGAAGTGGGACATTAATGTTTCTAATAAGAAAATAGTTTCCCACTTCATCAACTAAAGTGTCCCACTACAACTGAAAGACACGCTTTAGCAAAAGAAGGGGTCTGATGTTGTTGTATGTAAAAATGTATGCACACATGACTGTAAGTCGCTTTGGATAAAAGCGTCTGCTAAATGGCATATTATTTATTATTATTATTGTTTTAAGGAGGGTTGCATCCACTGAATAATAAACTATCAACTTGTTTCATCATAAAAATGTAGATACAACCTTAATTCATTGAAATAAACGTTAGTTGAGGAGGGTAGGCTGATTTTGATTTTCTACATAGCGATTTACCAAAAAGTGTCCCACTAATGCTGACTTCACCTTAGGAGTAGTAACACCAATGACGGTAAAACCAATGACACATTTTTGGTAATTGAAGATTTTCTTAAATGGAGGCCACAAATGCCCAAATCTAAGGTAATTAATGAACACTTTAACCCTTAATTTACGAAAGTGATATGATTAATAATTTTGCTCACAATGTAATTTTCCATAATTTACATTGAGTAACACCAATGACACTTTGTATTTAGACACACCAAATGATCAATGGAATCCTCAAATTTATGACATACTAAAGGGTGTGATTAGTTAATAGTTTTCGTTAATAAAGACTGCTCCCCAAAAACAGTTTGCCACTCAAGGTCCTTGTATATCTTTGTCATGTGATTTTCAAGGTGTTAACACCAATGACATAACACTTAGGGACACACATTATATATATACAGTGGGGGAAAAAAGTATTTAGTCAGCCACCAATTGTGCAAGTTCTCCGACTTAAAAAGATGAGAGAGGCCTGTAATTTTCATCATAGGTACACGTCAACTATGACAGACATATTGAGGGAAAAAAATCCAGAAAATCACATTGTAGGATTTTTAATGAATTTATTTGCAAATTATGGTGGAAAATAAGTATTTGGTCAATAACAAAAGTTTCTCAATACTTTGTTATATACCCTTTGATGGCAATGACACAGGTCAAACGTTTTCTGTAAGTCTTCACAAGGTTTTCACACACTGTTGCTGGTATTTTGGCCCATTCCTCAATGCAGATCTCCTCTAGAGCAGTGATGTTTTGGGGCTGTCACTGGGCAACACAGACTTTCAACTCCCTCCAAAGATTTTCTATGGGGTTGAGATCTGGAGACTGGCTAGGCCACTCCAGGACCTTGAAATGCTTCTTACGAAGCCACTCCTTCGTTGCCCGGGCGGTGTGTTTGGGATCATTGTCATGCTGAAAGACCCAGCCACGTTTCATCTTCAATGCCCTTGCTGATGGAAGGAGGTTTTCACTCAAAATCTCACGATACATGGCCCCATTCATTCTTTCCTTTACACGGATCAGTCGTCCTGGTCCCTTTGCAGAAAAACAGCCCCAAAGCATGATGTTTCCACCCCCATGCTTCACAGTAGGTATGGTGTTCTTTGGATGCAACTCAGCATTCTTTGTCCTCCAAACACGACGAGTTGAGTTTTTACCAAAAAGTTCTATTTTGGTTTCATCTGACCATATGACATTCTCCCAATCAGCTTCTGGATCATCCAAATGCACTCTAGCAAACTTCAGACGGGCCTGGACATGTACTGGCTTAAGCAGGGGGACACGTCTCGCACTGCAGGATTTGAGTCCCTGGCGGCGTAGTGTGTTACTGATGGTAGGCTTTGTTACTTTGGTCCCAGCTCTCTGCAGGTCATTCACTAGGTCCCCCCGTGTGGTTCTGGGATTTTTGCTCACCGTTCTTGTGATCATTTTGACCCCACGGGGTGAGATCTTGCGTGGAGCCCCAGGTCGAGGGAGATTATCAGTGGTCTTGTATGTCTTCCATTTCCTAATAATTGCTCCCACAGTTGATTTCTTCAAACCAAGCTGCTTACCTATTGCAGATTCAGTATTCCCAGCCTGGTGCAGGTCTACAATTTTGTTTCTGGTGTCCTTTGACAGCTCTTTGGTCTTGGCCATAGTGGAGTTTGGAGTGTGACTGTTTGAGGTTGTTGACAGGTGTTTTTTATACTGATAACAAGTTCAAACGGGTGCCATTAATACAGGTAACGAGTGGAGGACAGAGGAGCCTCTTAAAGAAGTTGTTACAGGTCTGTGAGAGCCAGAAATCTTGCTTGTTTGTAGGTGACCAAATACTTATTTTCCACCATAATCTGCAAATAAATTCATTACAAATCCTACAATGTGATTTTCTGGAGAAAAAAAATTCTCAATTTGTCTGTCATAGTTGACGTGTACCTATGATGAAAGTTACAGGCCTCTCTCATCTTTTTTAGTGGGAGAACTTGCACAATTGGTGGCTGACTAAATACTTTTTTCCCCCACTGTATATATATATATATATACAGTGGGGGAAAAAAGTATTTAGTCAGCCACCAATTGTGCAAGTTCTCCCACTTAAAAAGATGAGAGAGGCCTGTAATTTTCATCATAGGTACACGTCAACTATGACAGACATATTGAGGGAAAAAAATCCAGAAAATCACATTGTAGGATTTTTAATGAATTTATTTGCAAATTATGGTGGAAAATAAGTATCTGGTCACCTACAAACAGGCAAGATTTCTGGCTCTCACATACCTGTAACTTCTTCTTTAAGAGGCTCCTCTGTCCTCCGCTCGTTACCTGTATTAATGGCACCTGTTTGAACTTGTTATCAGTATAAAAGACACCTGTCCACAGACGGAGCTGCTCTTCCTCCAGGACTGCCCATTCCATGATCTCGCCATCACGGTTGACAACTCCGTTGTGTCCTCCTCCCAGAGTGCAAAGAGCCTTGGCGTGACCCTGGACAACACCCTGTCGTTCTCCGCTAACATCAAGGCGGTGACCCGATCCTGTAGGTTCATGCTCTACAACATTCGGAGAGTACGACCCTGCCTTACACAGGAAGCGGCACAGGTCCTAATCCAGGCATTTGTCATCTCCCGTCTGGATTACTGCAACTCGCTGTTGGCTAGGCTCCCTGCCTGTGCCATTAAACCCCTACAACTCATCCAGAATGCCACAGCCCATCTGGTGTTCAACCTTCCCAAGTTCTCTCACGTCACCCCGCTCCTCCACACTCCACTGGCTTCCAGTTGAAGCTCGCATCTGCTACAAGACCATGATGCTTGCCTACAGATCTGTGAGGGGAACGGCACCTCCGTACCTTCAGGCTCTCATCAGTCCCTACACCCAAACGAGGGCATTGCGTTCATCCACCTCTGGCCTGCTGGCCCCCCTACCTCTGCGGATGCACAGTTCCCGCTCAAAAAAAAAAATGGTAAAGTGGTTATACCACTGGCTATAAGGTGAATGCACCAATTTGTAAGTCGCTCTGGATAAGAGCGTCTGCTAAATGACGTAAATGTAAATGGGTAACATCTCACAGCAAGAACTGGCAAATCTGGTGCAGTCCATGAGGAGGAGATGCACTGCAGTACTTAATACAGCTGGTGGCCACATCAGATACTGACTGTTACTTTTGATCCCCCCCCCTTTGTTCAGGGACACATTATTCAATTTCTGTTAGTCACATGTCTGTGGAACTTGTTCAGTTTATGTCTCAGTTGTTGAATCTTATGTTCATACAAATATTTACACATGTTAAGTTTGCTGAAAATAAACAGTTGACAGTGAGAGGACGTTTCTTTTTTTACTGAGTGTATGTATGTATGTATGTGTATTTGAGTTGAATCAAAGACAGAAATATATCAAATGTAAGTATCAGAACCTACTCAATTTGTGTCAAACAGTCATGCCTTATCAATAATGCTACACATTATTTCAGACTTCTCCATTATGATTTTTAATACGAATAATTTCCCCCAAAATATTTGCAGTCTGAATAGAATACCATACAATCCATTTAAAATGTAAAAAAATATAAGCCAAAAAAACTAACCACAATTAACACCAATACCATTAATCTAATCATCTTGCAAAGCACTGCTAAGGACATCAATTCTACAGGATATACCTGTTACTATAACACCAGACAAGTAAAAAAATAAAATTAAAATAAGTTGCGCAATCATACATAAGCATTTTTATACCAAAGTATTAAACAAAAATGTATGAATGCCTAAGCTCTATTTTCTTACAGCTCTCCCTCTGCGGGGCTTACTCAGCTGCTCGGATTCAGTAGCTTGCTCAATGTCAATTCCCTGAGATGCAGCTTTTGCCCTTTTGGATCCTTTTCCTCTTCCTTCTGAAGCTACTTCTGAGATGGTCTCTGGCACTTCCTCAGTGACAGTAGGAGTAGTGCTAGTGGTCTCAATGGGAGCTGCAGCAGTAGACTTTGCTCCTCGTCTTGTTTTTTTGACAGGTTCCTTTGGAACAGTTTTATCTGAGAGATCTACCTCTTCAGTTTTCTTTGTATTTCTTGCTGTATTCCTTTTGTTTACAGGCTTTGAAATGCAGACAGTGGCTTCAGCAGTGAAGGTCTCTGTGGACTCTGTAGCACTATGGTGTGCCCTTCTTGAGGATGTTGATTGTGCGGTCTCCTCTTTGACCTCGACGTTAGTTCTTGCCCTTTTTCCTCGCACTGCCTTCACAACCTCCTGTTCTTCAATTTGTGCAGGCTGTTCGTCAACCTTACACATGGGAACAGTATCATTCCGTCTGGATTTTCTCTGTTTAGGAAGAGGGGTGACCATATGTGTAACTTCCAAATCAGGTTTCCAATGAACAGATTTTGAGGTATTTTTTGAGTCTTCATCGATAGTTTCCATGCCTTCAATAGAATTTGCCTGGTCAGAGGTAGTTTCAGAAACAGCCTTTCCCTTTTTAGTGTCTGTTACCTCAGCCTCCAATGGATTGCTCTCAGCTGCAATGGTGGTTTCATTGGAAAAGACTGTGGATTTACCTGCCCTTTTGCCTCTCTTGACAGGCTCTGTTGGAACTCCAACAGTTGCTTCTGCAGCAGTGGTCTCCTTTGGGGAATCAGCTGCTCCTCTGCGTTTCCTCTTGGCAGGCACTTCATCCTTCACAACGGCTCTTGCCTTCCTTCCCCGTCCTGATTTGACAACAGGAGCTTCCAGATGTTCTTCAGCCTCAGCAATGGTCTCTTCACTCTCTGGTTTAGCATCAACCTCCTCAGTTTGTGCAGGGACGTGGACTTCCGGCACTATCATGTTCTCAACTTCTACCACTTCAGGAACCTTCCGCTTCGCTCTTCTTCCTCTTTTAAGTTTCTCTGTAGGGGGAGCAGATGTTTCCTCCTGAGTCTCTGTGGATACTGGAGGGACGACACTCTCGGGATTCTGTTTAGTCCTTCCTCTTTTATGTTTCTCAACCGGAGCCACCACGGTCTGCTCCTGGGCTTCAGCGTCCACAGTCACTGACTCAACAGGATGTTCCAAAACGAACTCTACAGAAGCCTGCTTAGTCTTTCTTCCGCCTCTTTTGGGTTTCTCAACTGGAGCCACAGTGGTCAGCTCCTGGGCCTCAACCTGTTCAACAGGAGTTTCAACACTCACAGACTCCACTTGTTCCACAAACTCCTGCTTAGTCTTTCTTCCTCTCTTGGGTTTTGCAACAGGGACTGGGGCCTCCATCTCTTCTGTAGAAGTAATTTCAACCACCACAGCTTCAGCAACATGTTCTTCCATTGTTCCTCTTGCCCGTGGTTTCTCAACAGGAACACTAGCAGATAGCTCCTTGGCCTCCACAATCTCAATTGGAGGAATTTCAAGAACCTCCTCTTCAACAACTTCTACTGAATCCTGTTTAGGCTTTCTTCCTCGCTTAGATCTAACGACTCGAGTCTGGGCCTCAACCTTTTCAGTGACAGGAACACTAATGGATTCAACAGTGTTCTCCTGCACGGTTTCAACTTGCTCCACAGAAGCCGGTTTGGCCTTTTCGTCCTCTCTTCGGCTTTTCAGCAGGAACTGTGTCAGCATCCATTTTCTCCTGCACATCCACAGAATCTATTGTTTCCACTTGTGCCTCAACGCTACTGCTTTCATTATGTCTTGCCCCTCTCCTTCTAGCAGATGGTCTGGCTGGTGGTGGCACAATCCCCTCAGTTTTCTTGCCTCTACCTTTTACTGGAGCAGCAGGCTCTTCACTTTCAAGATGTTCTACCTCCACTGCCTCAGCAGGTGCAGCAACTGGCTCTACCTCCTCCACTGCCTCAGCAGGAGCAGCAGGCTGTTCTTCCTCCACTGCCTCAGCAGGAGCAGCAGGCTGTTCTTCCTCCACTGCCTCAGAAGGAGCAGCAGTTGGCTCTTCGATCTCCTCCATTGCCTCAGCAAGAGAAGCAGCAGGCTCTTCTATCTTTTCCACTACCTCGGAAGGAGCAGCATCAGGCTCTTCTACCGCCTCAGCGGGCTGTTCTTCCTCTACAGCATTAGCAGGTACAGCAGCATGCCCCTCAGTCTCCTCCACTGTCTCAGAAGAAAGAGCAGCAGCAGGCTCTTCTACCTCCTCAACAGGCTGTTCTTCCTCCACTGCCTCAGGAGTAGCAGCAAGCGCTTCGCTCTGCTCCACTGTTGTCATGGCATCCGACACACATTCAGGATAAATAGCTTCTTCTTGAATCTAAAAAAAAAAAAAATAAGACACTCATAAATAAAATGCGAGAAGGTTTAAATATTCAGAACCTAAAATTGTAGTCATTGGATGAGAGGATGTTTTGAAGTAAAACATGAAATAAGTAATTAGGCAGAAAATAAATATTACAGGCAAATAAGTTATGCTAAACACATTTGGCATGCAAACATACTATTAAACCAAATTACATCTAATGTCTTAAAAAGAGAACAATGAGCAAACCTCTTTTGTCTTGCTGTGGACATTGTGATCATTTTGGCCTTCACCAGAAATCTCTTCAACAGGTTGAGCGTTGTATTTGGGGGTCTTCAGGAGTTCCTTTACACCACTGAAGTTTACTTCTTGAGCAGCCTTAGACCCTCTTGGAGTGTTCATCAGTTTTCCTCTAAGGTCCTCGATGGGTACAGCCTTCGGTCTTGGGGTCTTCATGATCCTCTTCACTCCAGTGAGATAGTCGGGTTGCTCAGGTTTCTGTTGTTTGGGAGTTTTCAACAGTTTCCCTGTGAGGTCTTCAATGGGGTCTGCCTTCTGTCTTGGAGTCTTCATAATCCTCTTCACTCCAGTGAGATAGTCGGGTTGCTCAGGTTTCTGTTGTTTGGGAGTTTTCAACAGTTTCCCTGTGAGGTCTTCAATGGGGTCTGCCTTCTGTCTTGGAGTCTTCATAATCCTCTTCACTCCAGTGAGATAGTCGGGTTGCTCAGGTTTCTGTTGTTTGGGAGTTTTCAACAGTTTCCCTGTGAGGTCTTCAATGGGGTCTGCCTTCTGTCTTGGAGTCTTCATAATCCTCTTCACTCCAGTGAGATAGTCGGGTTGTTCAGGTTTCTTCTGTATGAGAGTAGAGATCGCGGTCTTTGACTCTGGCTGCTGTTCTTCCTTAGATTCTTCGCAAGACCTCTCCAAGGCAGGGATCTCACTTGGTTTGGAACAAGAGTCATCAGCTTCCTCCTGAGTGGCATTTGCAGTGATGAAACTGGATTCTTGATAATCCCGAAGGAGTCTAATGACTGCATCACTGTTGTACACACCCCGTTTAGCAGTAGAAACAACAAGAGGAGACACCACCATTTCACCTGTGACGATAGAGAATAAACAGAAAGTATATTTAGTTTAATCATTGATTTCAACATGATCAATACATCTAATAAACAGTGTACAAGACTCTGAAAACCACTGTCAAGACTCCATCTCCTGCCCCACAACAGAGGTCATGGTCAAAATCACTTACCAGTGGCCTCTGGGGTCTCCATCACTGATTCAATCATAGATGTAGACTGGACTCTCTGGGGGGTCTTGAGGGCACTCTGCACATTGGCCACAGACTTCCTTTGCTTTGCAGGGGTCTTGAACATTTCTGCAACTCCTGAAACCACAAACAAAACAACCCTGTTGCTTTACGTAAGCACAATATGACACTGCAACAAGCCCTTTAGATACCATACGAAGAACTTGCCAATCAAATATTGGGGATAGGAAATTGACTAATTACCTGACAAATCCTCATCCATTGTCATGTTCTTTTTTAGCAGTGCAATGTTGTGGACAAGCTTTGGGGCAGCCCCACATGGCTGACTGACTTTCAGCTTGTGAGCTTTGCCCACAACAATGGTCACAGGCGAATCTGCATGACCAGTGCTGACATGTCCTATGAGCTTCCTCGCAGGTGTCTGTAACATAATTAGCATAATCAACAAGTTAGGTAATGTAGCCATAATTGTTTTTAAGACAAAACCACTGAAGTCAATTTAACAACAAGCTGCAATTTGCTGCACTAGACATTTATTTGTATATTGACATGGTATAGTCATGGAGTGCAAAATACTATTTAAGCATGCCTTGGGTTTTGGTACAACATTCTTCTTAGTCTTGGTCACTCGGATGGACGTTTTCTTGGTTGGGATAACCGCTTGGGCCTTGGTCTGGCCGAACTTCACAATATCAGCCCAGGAACTCACAACTTGAAACGAAGAAGAAAAAAACCCACTTCATCAGCCAATCAACAAAAAGTTATTGAATCCCAACGAAGAAAGTAAATAGACGCATACCTTTCATAGATGCCCGAGGAACACCACTTCTTCTACGGATGACTTGTAGGGTATTCTTCATTGTGCTTTTCTCTGTTGTCTTCGAGGTAGACTTCATGCTCGTTCTCCTCAAGGGAACACGCAGGGTTACAGTGACAGGTGTCTGTGGGACAGAGTCCTGGTCTGCGGTGGGTGATGAGGTGCTGATGCGGGACACTGAGAACCGGCGTTGCACAGTGGGTGTTGTGTTGGCTGACTGCAAACTCACGGGGGTCATCCCAGCCTTGGGTGTTTGAGATTCATCTTTTAATGGAGACTTTCTTCGAGCAGATGGAGTCTTGACTTTACCTGGAGATGGAGTTTTAGCGTTCGGTGTCTTCTTGGCAGGTGAGGGAGTTTTGGGAGATGCCTTCGGTGGTGACTTGGCAGGCGAGGGAGTCTTGGGAGATACAATCTTTCCTGGACTTCCTTTCACTTTAGGGTTCTCTGGGGCAGACTGTTCATGCTCCTATGAAATTGAAAAAATATTTGAGTGAGAATCAGTTCATTAGCTATATCAAATACATGTCATTTGAGGAGCAAAGTCAGCATGTACATAACCTACAGTTTATTGAACATACCTTTATCAGACCAATTGCAGATGCTCTCCTGAGGAGTGGCCGTTTCATTTTAGGGACACACAAGCTGCGCCGTCCAGGAGTGGCTCCTTTGCGTAGTGGGGAGTCAGGAGGCAGACATTTATCGAACAGTTCCGGCTCCAAATGACCTCCAAATGAAACCCTTTTCCTCTTGCCCAGTGGTGTTGACAATTCTGTTTTAAGGTCTCCACTCTTCCGTTTCTTAGCGGATGACTGTTTAACTGGAGATAGAAATGAATATGTAGTAATTATCAAAGAACTGACATTGAAACTAGAACAAAGTAGACTAATAATTATTGAATTAACTAAATGTATGCATAAAAATGTTGACTGTTATTGGGAAATAACCTGGCATTGTTCTCACCATTGGTGGGTGTGGTCACCTCTAGTTCACGAAGCACATCCTGGGCTTGAAGCTTTTTCCCAGCAGACCTTGGTGAAGCCTGTGGAGAGCGGCAGGGCTCTATCTTAAAGGTACTTGGCGTGGAATTCTCACTCACTACGGTCTGGTCTTGGTTTAAAATGACTGCGTCAGCAGGTGGTTCTACCTCAGTTACCAAAGATTTGATGGGAGTGGCTTCCTTGCTCCTCCTCCTAGTGGGGGTCTTTGCGGTTTCTGCAGTCGGACACTCAGAAATCTGCTCAACCACTTCACTAGCGGTGAACTTCTGGGGTGTTGCCAGACGACTTTTCTTCTGAGAAACAGGGGTGGATTTTTCTTCAACAGTGGTGGGTGTTTTGGACTGTGAAGAACGCCTTTTACCTTTGGGAGTTTCTTGAATAGATGGAGTCAGCTGGATGAAATCTTCATCTGGCACATTCCCCTCAACAACCCAACCTTGGAAGGACTTTCGCCTCCTCTGAGCTGATTTTGGAGTCACTCCAGTGATAACAGGTGACACATTTTCAGTCTCCACCTTCTTGGGTGTGGAAATGACAGACACCCCATCCACTTTATTGGTTGGGATAGGTTTCTGTGGACAAAGCCTTGAAGCAGGTGTTCCAGGTGCTTTCTTTGGAGTCTTGGAATCCAGATCTTGTTTGAACATTTGATACAGCTCACAGGAGGAGCTTGGCTTGTTCTGTTCAAGAATTCCATCCTCCTGGAGTTGGACCACAGAAGTGTTGGTTCCATCTTTAGCTCTGGTATCCCTCGCTTGGGTTTCATGTAAAACCTGTGACAGAGACAGCTTGAGCACAGACTTCCTAGGTGATTCATAAGATATATTTCCTCAATGGGCATATAAATGGTAAGTCATGCTTTATTATCAAATATGCTTCAGGCTTTGACTTTTAGTGTATAACACGCATAATACCTGAGGAGTTTCATTTTTTCTAGCAGCAGAAGATCTATTTTTCTTTGGAGCGGGTGGTGGATGGTATTCAAACCTGAAAAGGAAAATATCAAATTAAATGTAAAAATAAAACAGTAACCCATAATCATATTGTGTATCAAAGTATATGGTTTAACATGCCATAACATATTTAGTTGTTAAATTATGACATGCTGTCCATCAAAATGTAAAAGGACAGTAAGCAGACTAAACACCAGGGATGCAAACTGGTGAGGGCACCCAAAAAATAAATGACCCAAAGAAATATGCACGGAAACGGCAAGAAAATGCACCTATTTTCAGAATTTGGTTGTCACAATACCAACATTTTACTAACGATGTGATAGGACAGCAAATTTTAGAGGCCCTCATCTTGGGCGCAGAGACAATTTAGCTGTTTTAAAGCTAGTTTCCTGCAACTCCACACATTTTGTGATGGGGTTGAGAGAGAAAGAGATCAATTTTAAATCTATTTTGCCATGGCTTATGCTGTGTTCTTATGCTATCTGAGTGACTCATAACAAAATCAACGGGGGCCCCATGCCATGACATTTATTGGAAATGTAGATTCTCCTTGAATGGCAATTTTCTATTTTGATGATTTTTTGTTCTCAAAGATTGTCTTATAAAAACAATCATATTTAACACTGAAAACGTTTTGCCATCATTTTTTGGAGTGTCAGCAACTATTTAGCAGATTTTCTGATATCCAAAGGCCGACCTGTGGGCCCAAGGAATACAGTAAGGAATACAAATGCATAATGATCTGCATTTCATTGTGGCAGTAAGGGGAAAGCACACTAGGCCTATATGAAACCATCTTTAGCCTACTCTTCAGACAGATTTACACACAGCCTACACTCTCCCTCCCTCCCTCTCCCATACACATCCTCGTTCTCCGTCACACACACACAACACTAGCTCTCACTGCTCCAAAAAGTTAGGCAGCAAACAGAATTTAAGGAACACCAGAAAACTCGTGGTTTTCAGTTATGTAAAGGTGCAAAGATGTGCTCCGTTTTTCCTCTATGGCAGTTGCACTCAAGAGCCTAGTCAGACTGACCTGCTTGTTGTTACAGGCGAAATGAAAAGATATCTACGTATCCACTTCACTTGCGCTGGGAGACTCTCCAATAGTTAAGCAAATTTAACAGAAACCCCATCACTGTCTGCACAACCCAGCCTGCCATCACGGCTAAATAACATTTTAAAACTGATGGAAATGTGCAGAATGAACGGATGGAGAGAATCAGCTGAGTAGGCTAATGGATGGTTAGGGGATGCGGCTGGCTGCTCACAGCTGATATTGGATGAGCAGTCATTGCTCAATGGGTGATACACCCTGCGTCTGCACACTTTTCATCAAACCTCTCCTCCCCAACACTTTTTTTAACGGATCTACACGATTCACGTAGATGTCTTATTTTGAGATCAAAACGGTGAACATCGCCGAAAAGTGGCGAGTTTGCATCCCTGAAACACATCAAATAAATTCGTATTATTTGACTATTGTGATAAACTGACATAAGATGCACAAACCTGAAAGAACGGTCAATAATTGTGATTAGATCTCCATGTTTCAAACATTCAGACTGCTGAAAAACCTCCCCATTGACACGGGTCGGGTTCACTGAACTCAAATTGGTTAAAATAACCTGTAAGAAAAAAATAAAGTCTTTCAATACTTCCTCTACAGATACTAAAATAAAAGTGACTGACTTATCGAAGGAAGGTAGCAATTATTTTGGCTGACTGCAGTTACCTCTTTATTTTCATTCAGCTCAATCCTGCAATGCTCCTTGGAGACTTGGGGAAGTTGAATGCGAATGTCGCAGTCAGGGTTCCTAAGAGACAAAAAGGCCATAATAAATATTCTGTAAAAAGGTTGTCTACATTTCCTGATTTCTTTCAGTAAATATTTGGTTCTGTCAACACATTTTTACTGTCTTCAAGGCATGTCAACTGGATTTCATCGTTTCTTTATTCCCATAAGCTGTTACTCCAGCAACAGCTACACTTCATGGGGTTCACATGCCCAGTATCTGTGCGTTACAGATGTCGAAGATGAGTATGACGCGTCCTCTCTATAAAGCCCAGGAAGCTCCAATTCAAACTCCCATTAGACAGCTCTACAAGCGTTCTCAAAATACATTCCTTACTCACCATATATGGAGTTTCACTGAGCAACTATCTTCAATTACTCCCGGTATGTACTTCAAAAAAAGGTCTAAATGAAAATTTACAAGCAACCGAAAAAAATGCCTCTTCGGCGCCTCCATTGTATGGAGCTGTTGTAGACTTCCGACCAGCGTGTGGCAATAATGAGTGATTGGAGGTGCAGAATAGGCATTTTTTCCAGTTGCTTATAAAACAATTTTGGAAGTACATTCTGTCCATAACGTGAGTAAATGAAGATAGTGCTGTCTAATGAGCGTTTGAGTCTGAGCTTCCTGGCCTTTAGAGAGGAGACATGTCGTAGTCGACATCGCTAACGCACAGATACTGTGGCAGGTTCACACTGCACACATACAGGAACAGTTAAGTTGAATAAATGCTAAAAGAGGGACAACTCATCAACAAGAGTGGGCTAAATCCAATCCATTTTCAGTGGATAAGGTTGAATGGATCTATAGGGTCTGTGTAGGCTCTTTTAGAATCTGAGAGTGAAATACGTACACACTCGTCTCTAACATGTAGGCTCAGCATTCCCAAACAGTTTAATTACAAGTCAGAATGTTGAACAAACTTCATTTCAATTTACTTTAACAGTTGTCCACCAATTTTGTCCCCATATCAGAGGTAATCTGACACAAAATATTTACAGGGAAGTGTTATCAACCTGACCTTCAGTACGCTGGTCTGTATATCGGTTTGTATTTCCGTTTTTGATTTTCAATACTGATGCAATTCGCACATGACAAACACTTGCACAACATGGCCGAGCCTAACCGAAGCACAGACCAAATGGCAAACACTTCCAACTGATTGTGAGGAAACGTGCTTTGGTCGACTATGTTCGGTTACATTTGGTGTTTACATATTGTACATCATGTGCAATGCATCAAGAGATTGAAAATACAAGCGACAGAACCTACTGGCATCGCAAAAAGTCGGGTAAACACTTTCCTGTGGATACCCCATCTCCCCCTCCTACCGCCAAAAGGACCAACAGCATGTACAACAAGTAAAGAAAGTGTAAATATCATTTTATTCAACATTGGCTTCTATTGAGTCTTTTTTTAGGGCGACTTCGGTCAGACAGAAAATCCATGAAGTGACCATGATAATGGTCTGATGTTTTGGCAAGAGTCTGTTGTAACATGTATTTTGAAACGCTGTAATAGTGAACAAAGCTCAACGACCTAAGTCAGCAGTAGAAAGCCCACATCTTAACACATTTAAAATGGCTAAACTACAAGTTGTTGATGATACGTTTAACTCTAACTTACCTATGCAAAACGCGAAAATATTATTACATTTAGACACCGACACTCACTGCTATGGCATTTTGCACATATTTACATATTTCAAAAGCTTTTTCTCACCTTCCAAATAAGCATGATGCAGTCAGAGGAAACTCAGTCCCATCTCCTCCACTCCTTTTGATTACAACAATTCTACCGTGCAGGGGCATTTTGAATTCAACCTTAACTAAATAAAAGTAAACAATGGTTAAAAGACTGCGAACAATCGTGTGAAATGTGACTGATTTGATTTAACCGTTTTAGTACTGGCGCTAGCTAGCCAAGTTGTCCTGATTGGTAACGTTAAACGAATTAACTGTAGTAAAATAAGCGGAGCATCAAACACCAGTTTATAGTTTTTATTTCAACATTGTTGTGGACTGACGGGCGAAGCCAAGTGTTATTGCCAGCGAAGCAAAGTGTTATTGCCAGCCACTTTGTGCATTAAGTTCCCAGCTATCTAACGTTAGCTAACTTTGACTGGCTAACGTTAATGTTTAGCTGGGTAACTTAGCAACGTTATAGTAAAGTAGCTAGTTAGGAGAAAATATTTTAGCTACGTTACCTGTGAGGCAGTTCAAAGATTATTCAGAACAGCTGGTCTTCCATAAAGAACTACAGGACAATACTTTGTCCTTTATTAAAGTATAACAGAGATTGATAAAACCATCAGCCTTCTTATATGCGACGTCTAACCTAGCTAACGTACATATGGTTCCTTGTTGTTACTACAGCTTGTTGGCAAAACTGTGCAAGCGTACTTCAGTGTACATTATATCCTTCCGCCGAATTCAATCAACTCAGAATAAATAGTTGTGCTGTGGACTTGGTAGGTTATAAAATAAATTTATTATTCTACTTTGTAAAACATCTACACCGTTTTACACATTTCAGTGTGTCAGATGTGGTTTAAAATATGAAGGACTATTTTGTGTCCGGCGGAGCAACAAATTTTGAAATTCCGCGCGAAGGCTGTCCATTGGCTGAAATCAAACATAAACACCCACAGTAGAAGGAGGCGGAGCGGATTTGTTGAATGAAGATAGTAATGCCTCGTTCACATTAACTATATAAGCACTCCGTTAAACGTAGGTGGTGGACCTAAGCCGAAACACGTGAAGTTGATCGGTCCCGGTCGAGGGAGGAGCAGATTTTTTAGTATGTGACAGTAAAAAATTATTATGATGACTATAACATTTATTGGCACCTTCAATTCTAGCACATTTTCTCATAAAAATGATATTTCAACACTGTTTGCTCGGGCAAATTTGCCGAACTGATACACGTGGAACCAATCAGAACTCCCGTACATACCCCTCGTGATGAAGGCAGCCAACATGAGCTGCTGTCTGATGAAAAGGAACAGATAAAGACTGAAATAGCTAAGATAAATATCTATTTTCGAGTGCACTTGAAATATGCAGCACGCAATACGAATAGTTTTGATCATATGAAGAGCCAATTTATTGAAAGCAAGCCAATGTTACAGTTTGACTAGCCAATCCAGCTACTGTAAATGTCCATTTGTTTTATTACCTATCTCTCTGTCAATTATTATATATATTTTTATCATGTTTTGGCATGATTAAATATTTTATTTCAAGTAACTAGCTGCAGGCTTTAAAAAAAACATTAATTCATATACTGTGCATAGAAACCAAAATAAAAGCATGTACATAGATAGAAAGGTGTGTGTGTTTGTGCATGCTAGAATGGAGGTTTAAAAACGACAGCTGCATATGCATATTAGCCAATACATATGGCATAGCCTACACATATAGCATACCTTGCAATACAATATTATCTAAAAACAGTTGTACAATGTGCTCTGCCATAAGATAACCACAGTTTGATATATAAACCAGATGAGTTCTCAAATAGCAGCTGCCCAATACCATGGTGGGCATGCATAATGTTGGATACATTGGAATATAAGGAATGGAGAATGATAAAGAGCCTGTAGAATCATAGAATAAGCAGTTGGAAAATGAATGTTTTAGTTTCAAATACTAAATGTTCAGTGAATGTGAGTATATTTATGTGGTTTAAATTATTAACTTTCCTACTAACCTTCTAAAAGTTGACGGTACCAAAATCTTGCCCATCCATTCATTATTCTACTAACTATGACTGAGTGTGAGACATGTTTTCCATAATGTACATTTCATGTATATACAGTCGAACAAAGAACACCATCACAAATAGTGTTTCACCATTTATTGAGTACAGAGCAGGGGCGGTGTGTTCATTAGGGCGATATGGGCGACGCACTGCCAAACAGGAAAAGGAAGGGATTTTTTTTCTAATCAATTATATCACGGCCACAGTAGTTATCAGTGTTCTAATCTAGACGTCTGATCTGACACTAAATGTCCAATCAGGCTAAAGTCGTGCTTCAAATGGCCCCGCCCCTTTTGGGGCGATTTCAGTCAGGTTGAAAATCGCCCAGGAGTCTCTCATAGACTCTCATGTAAAATCTTTTTTTTTTCAAATATCAGAGCTTTCAATACAATCTCTATGGGTTCCGGGAGGGCTTGCACTTACGCGCTTTCGTCATACGTAACATAAGTAACCATGAACATAACTAAGAAAAGAGCGGGTAGCAGCGTCAATCAATTCACGTACTACTGTCAAGATGGCTAGCTTTGCGAGGCAAAGATGAAACTGAGGGCTCCACCAACCCTGGTATTTTTCTTGGACTTGTCAACTTTGTGGCACAATTAGATGAGGTGTTTGATGACCATCTTAAAAATGCTAAAGTTTTCAAGGGCACATCAAAGACCATTCAAAACGAGCTACTGGAGTGTATGCTAGCGGTCATGAGGGAACATATTGTGGAGGAGGTGAAGTCGGCGAACTTCATAGCTATCCAAGCTGACGAGACCACGGACGTTTCTACACAGACACAGCTGGTGCTTGTGCTGAGGTACATAGATAGCAACCACAAAGTGCAGGAGCGCTTTTTTGAGTTCCTTCCCATCTCGGAATCAACCTCAGTCTCAATCGCCAGTGTGCTTTTGGAGAGACTGAACGGTCTTTTTGCCGACGACGAGAAAGTCAAACTCATTGCGCAAGCTTACGATGGAGCCAGTGTGATGAGGGGAGAGAAGGCTGGTGTGCAGCAAAAGGTGCGTGAGCATTTCAAGAATGCCCATTACGTGCATTGCTATGCGCATCAGCTGAATTTGATCATGCAGCAAGCTAGAACAGTTTCAGTACAAGTAATGTAGCCTCTCTCTCTCTTTGTCCCTCCCTGTCTGTCTCTTTAACACACACACGCCCAAATCAGTTCACAGTTGATGTTGTTTAAAATAGTTATTTTTCATTTTTAAAAAAGTTTTTAAAAAAAAAAAACAAATCTGTTCATGTTCATTTTTACAAATCTATACAATTGGCCAGAATATGGTTGTTCATATTTACAAATCTATACAATTGGCCAGAATATGGTTGTTCATTTTTACAAAGCCATACAGATAGCTGTGTTTACCTTTTCTAGAAATTATTTTCAAATTCTGTTTTCAGGCAAAATGTCTATCACTGTTCATTTTCACAAATCTATACAAGAGGGCAGAATATGGAAGTCTATAAAAATGTCTTATTACCAATAACTTGCATCAATGTTTTCAGTAGCCTCTATCAAAAGCTCCTGCTTGCTTGTTGTGAATTATGCTCAGGTGCACATATTTCCAATTCAACCATGAGGCCTTTTTGAAGCAAGTAATGTGTATATCAGTACTGACTTATATGCTGCCCCTGTCTTCATGTTGTTGCTGGACATATCTTTTTTTAAATGTGTGTAGGTCACCTAAATCATCAGAAAAATTGCCCCCCCTGAGAATTTTTTCAGGAGCCGCCACTGGTACAGAGACAAATAAAAAATGTATTGGGCAGTATTTTAAGTATCTAAATATAGCGTAACCTACCAATCAATCTACAGTGGGGAGAACAAGTATTTGATACACTGCCGATTTTGCAGGTTTTCCTACTTACAAAGCATGTAGAGGTCTGTAATTTTTATCATAGGTACAATTCAACTGTGAGAGACGGAATCTAAAACAAAAATCCAGAAAATCACATTGTATGATTTTTAAGTAATTAATTTGCATTTTATTGCATGACATAAGTATTTGATCACCTACCAACCAGTAAGACTTCCGGGTCTCACAGACCTGTTAGTTTTTCTTTAAGAAGCCCTCCTGTTCTCCACTCATTACCTGTATTAACTGCACCTGTTTGAACTCGTTACCTGTATAAAAGACACCTGTCCACACACTCAATCAAACAGACTCCAACCTCTCCACAATGGCCAAGACCAGAGAGCTGTGTAAGGACATCAGGGATAAAATTGTAGACCTGCACAAGGCTGGGTTGGGCTACAGGACAAATAGGCAAGCAGCTTGGTGAGAAGGCAACAACTGTTGGTGCGATTATTAGAAAATGGAAGAAGTTCAAGATGACGGTCAATCACCCTCGGTCTGGGGCTCCATGCAAGATCTCACCTCGTGGGGCATCAATGATCATGAGGAAGGTGAGGGATCAGCCCAGAACTACATGGCAAGACCTGGTCAATGACCTGAAGAGAGCTGGGACCTCAGTCTCAAAGAAAACCATTAGTAACACACTACGCCGTCATGGATTAAAATCCTGCAGCGCACGCAAGGTCCCCTTGCTCAAGCCAGCGCATGTCCAGGCCTGTCTGAAGTTTGCCAATGACCATCTGGATGATCCAGAGGAGGAATGGGAGAAGGTCATGTGGTCTGATGAGACAAAAATAGAGCTTTTTGGTCTAAACTCCACTCGCCGTGTTTGGAGGAAGAAGAAGGATGAGTACAACCCCAAGAACACCATCCCAACTGTGAAGCATGGAGGTGGAAACATTCTTTGGGGATGCTTTTCTGCAAAGGGGACAGGACGACTGCACCATATTGAGGGGAGGATGGATGGGGCCATGTATTGCGAGATCTTGGCCAACAACCTCCTTCCCTCAGTAAGAGCATTGAAGATGGGTCGTGGCTGGGTCTTCCAGCATGACAACGACCCAAAACACACAGCCAGGGCAACTAAGGAGTGGCTCCGTAAGAAGCATCTCAAGGTCCTGGAGTGAACTAGCCAGTCTCCAGACCTGAACCCAATAGAAAATCTTTGGAGAGAGCTGAAAGTCCGTATTGTC